CTGAATCTCTCTTTTTTTGTTTAGTAGCAGCAAAGAGAGATGGTTCAACTCTAAAGAAGAGTGGTGCTTGTCTGCGACTTGTTTTGCCAGTGATCTCTGGGTTGACCCTTAAAAGTTAACCATTAAAACCTTAACCCTTTAAAGCCATACCCTCAACTTTTGAGGGAGTAATCCAAATCATGGAAAACAAGAAAGGCACATAACTTTGAGAAGCCAAAGTGTATATACCCTTGATTTACCCTAAAAAAATGAAGCTACATTTTTATATACTAATTTTTTGGGTATATCTATGTTTTTCAAATATCATAACTAAGCCAAAAATTTACTAATTTCAATTCGGAAACCGTTTCTGTGCAAGTTTTTTAAAGGTTAAGAAATCTGCATATCAAGATTTAAAAATTAGGAAATTTAAATTTTTGTAAATTTTTGACAATTTTAACGATACAACCCCTTAAAAATGATCAACAAATTTGTAAATTTTTTGTTTCTCCCTGAGATGTTCAGTTCGATTCGGTTTTTTGTGCTGATCAAGAATATATATGATTTATAGGGTCGGAAATGACTCCTTCATTGAGTTTTAAGCTTCTGACTGAAATTATAATATCCCGAAAAGGTATAATAATATAGCAAAAATTTGTGTGTTTACTTTAATAAACGTTTGTATTTTTAATACAAATTGCTGTATCACTTTAAATAAAAATTGAGTAGTGGGATCCATGGCAATTAGGGGAATAATTTGGAAAATAAATGCACAGCTAGCACAACTGATTCTAGATCTAGGCCTGTTTCCTCCAATTACATCCTTATAATTAATATAATTGTCATTGTTAAGACTTACCGCAGTACAGGGGACACGTCATTGTTTAATTCCTTCCAGTGCAAAGATATATTCTTGGTGGCATCAATTAGGCTTGTCATGGTGTCATCAAAACAAGCACTTCCTGTTTATCCAGATGATGTGAATTGGCCACGTCATATTTTTGGAGTCAATGGGTAATCACTATTCACTATCACTCGAGATGTTAACACTGGAGACGCCACGGACCGACTGAGGTGCGCAAGGCGGCAGAGCCCTGTATTTATACTTTTTGAGCAAAGAGAATAGAGAAAGTGTGAGCGAGAGCTAGAGCGAAAGAGGCATCTATGGAGGCAAGCAATGAGAGAGATGGAGCGGCGGCCTCACTGGCCTCACCCACCCCTTTCTCTGGAGAACTCTCTATGTGTCTCAGTGCTTGCCTCCACAGATGCCTCTTTGCCTCTTGCTCTTACCTGCTCTATTCTCTATAAATACCGGGCTCTGCCGCCTTGCGCACCTCAGTCGGTCCGTGGCGCCTCCAGTGTTAACATCTCGAGTGATAGTGATAGTGATTACCAATCGACTCCAAAAATATGACGTGGCTAATTCGTATCATCTGGATAAACAGGAAGTGCTTGTTTTGATGACACCATGACAAGCCTAATTGATGCCACCAAGAATATATCTTTGCACTGGAAGGAATTAAACAATGACGTGTCCCCTGTACTGCGGTAAGTCTTAACAATGACAATTATATTAATTATAAGGATGTTATTGGAGGAAACAGGCCTAGATCTAGAATCAGTTGTGCTAGCTGTGCATTTATTTTGCAAATTATTCCCCTAATTGCCATGGATCCCACTACTTAATTTTTATTTAAAGTGATACAGCAATTTGTATTAAAAATACAAACGTTTATTAAAGTAAACACACAAATTTTTGCTATATTATTATACCTTTTCGGGATATTATAATTTCAGTCAGAAGCTTAAAACTCAATGAAGGAGTCATTTCCGACCCTATAAATCATATATATTCTTGATCAGCACAAAAAAACAGAATCGAACTGGACATCTCATGAAGAAACAAAAAATTTAAAATTTTTGATAATTTTTTAAGGGGTTGTTAAAATCGTTAAAATTGTCAAAAATTTAAATTGTCTAAATTTTAAATCTTGGTATGCAGATTTCTTAACCTTTAAAAACTTGCACAGAAACGTTTTCCGAATTGAAATTAATGAATTTTTGGTTAAGTTATGATATTTGAATAACAACAAATTAGCATACAAAAATGTAGCTGAATTTTTCAAGGAGTAAATCATTAAAATTGTCAAAAATGCATAAAATATTAAATATATTTCAATATTAAAGCTAATATGATTTTATCACAATAAAAGGCCTATCAAGAATAACTTTCCAAATTAAGATTAATGCATCTATGGTCTAGTTATGATCGATTTCACATTCGAACCCATGATCTTATGGGTAAGTGAAAGAGTATACACACTTTGGCTTCTCAAAGTTAGCTGGCTTTCTTGTTTTAGTTATATATTGCCTTCAGTGGGTTAAGTTCTCGAGATGGATTCTTTGATTTCGGGGAATACATTAAAAAGGAATCGCCATAAAATCCAGTTCCCAGCGATGCGCTGACGTCCAAAAGAGACCTGCAATTTTGGGGGGATTTCTTTTTGGTTGCTTGTGCTGCCTCGGCCTATCATTACCAAGGAAACTCAGATATGCGTGCGTGCAGTGAGATTGTCTGACTCACATGGATCTCCGCCAGATCTTGCGCACACAGCCTCCCCTCGGAACCAGTTTCGTTTCCCATTCCATGGTGACTCTTGCCGCTGCCTTTATTTTTCTGTTTTTGTTTTGGCAGTTTTGCAGGTGTTTGTTACTTTCGGGTGATTTTTTTCCAGCCCAGCTCCACCGCTGCTGCTATGACGTCGCTAGCGACGTGGTTAGTGGGTGGCTCAAGACGGCGGTGGCGGTGGAGTGTCAAGTTCGAGTTGTAGCTTTGTTCGCAGCCTGGGTTCTATTTAGCTCTTGTTTTGCTTGAACGCCCACGAAGCGGCGTTGGCAAGCGGGCATGCGCTTTCAAGGCAGCCCTCGGTTGGCAGCTCCAGTTAAGTGCCGCTGGGTGGAACCGGATCCTTGGACTAACTGTGTGTGGACTAAGCCCACTAACGGAGCCACGTCGACTTACATGAGGGCACGTGCAGTGCGACAGTTAGCCAGAGTTCTCCGACACTTGACCTCAACAGATGGAAATCGAAATCCATACACACGTTCCGATGGAATGCTACTGGCCCGGCACTGGCGACACCTGCAATTAGGCGTGAATCATGAATAAATTTCCGAATGGACTCTAAAAATACTCGGCGTTGTCGAATTTAATGCCAAATTTCAGAGTGCAATAAGCGATCTTTGCCGAGAACCCTGGCAATCTCCTTTGATGCCGGTAGGGAGAGAGCAGGCGAACGAGCGAGTTTGATGGCACTTCCTCGACCGGTTTGGTGTTCCCCTTTCATTGTTTTTTTTTGGTGGATCGTCCAAGATTCACTTGGGTAACCTGGTCGCTAATAAGTGACTAACAAGAAGAAGCCACAATGCGGTTAGTGTCCAGCTAATTTAATGGTCCTCCAGCTCAGCTCCATATATGTACATACGTTGTTATACGGTTTGCTTCATTTAAAATCCATTGCCCTTCGGGTGCTTAGGGAGGCAAGTCATTGCCTGGTATCCTCTTAATTAGTGGAAGTTTTCCATATCCGAAATATTCCTTTTTTATGTAAAGTGCTTGCTAAATGAATTCAATCAATATGATAAGCATTTTTCTTGTATTCAATATAATCGTTAAATCATCATTGTTTTCTCTCTCTTTTTGCAGATTTAACTTGAGGCATTCCCACTATTTAATATAGACCAAATAAATGATGCATATTTTTATGATTTAACTAAATTTATTTGATTTTAAATCTACGATGGGAATTGTGCTGCGGTCCAAGTGAATGTCCCATTGTTCCACGGGCCCCCCCTCCGAGTGGGATAATCTATGCGCGGCTCTGGCATGAGAAGATTTCATTTATTTAAAGACTAATTATATGACTATTGATGAACTCTAAAGAATCGTGCCGGCTTATCTCATTAATTCGGGATTAGCGAAACAGCACAAGGGCCGAAATAGCTCAGTTGGGAGAGCGTTAGACTGAAGATCTAAAGGTCCCCGGTTCAATCCCGGGTTTCGGCATTCATATATCCTTTTTTATACAATTGCAGGGTATTCTAATTTTAACCAAGAAGCTTGAAACGGGTCGAAGGAGTCATTTCCGGCCATATAAATCATATATATGGCATATCCGGACGAAAACTAAATGTACCCATTTTTTGTTAAATTTTATAAGGGGTTGCATCGTAAAATTATCAAAATTAAATTTTTGCAATTTTAAACGAGTATGCAGGATTGGTAACCTACAAAAAACCAACACAAAACAGCTTTCCGATTGAAAATCAATCAATTTTTTACTGAGTTATGATGAATTTTCATTGCAAGGGTATAGAAATTTCGGTTTCCCGAGGATATACCCTTGCAGGGTATTAAAACTCCAGTCAGATGCCAGGAACACAGTGAAGGAGTAATTTCCGACCCTATAAAACATATATATTCTTGATCAGCATAAAATCGATCTAGGCATGTGCAGACGAAAAAAAAGTTTAACCATTTTTTTTAAAATTTTTTAAGGTGTTACATCGTTAAAATTATCAAAAATTGAAGAAAATTTAAAATTTTTTAAAATTTTAAACTAGTATGCAGACATGTAAGCCTAAAAAAGCCCAACACAGAACAGCTTTCCGATTAAAAATTAAATCATTTTTTGCCTGAGTTATGGTTGACTTTCACTGCAAAGGTATAGAAATTTCTGGTTCCTAAAAGTAGCCTTTTTTTTTTTGTTTAATTTTCCCGTATTTTCATAAATTTAAATATATATATATGCCCTCTGAAATGGATTCCTACTCAAACAGCGAGCTATCTTTATCACTTTCTTATATAGGGTAAGACTCCAGTTCTTAAAGCTAAGTATTTTTTGTACTTGCTTATATTTGGTATGAGTAGTGAGGCATATTCTAGACCTTTCAATTATGGACAAATTTCGATTGGGTCACTTATTTTTAAATATTAGTTATAAACTTTAATAGTTACTTACCCTCAAGCATCCTTAGAATCCTCTTTCTTTAAAGCATATACACTTTGATAAACACAAACAGCAAACACTAGTCTCACAATTTTAAAGCAGAATGAAACTTTCGAGATAGTCTTCCTTCTATAGCAGTTAGTATAAAAGTAAGAGACTGGATCGGATGGAAGCTATTCCATGGAATTAATTGGGAAATAAATATAAATTAAAATTACAACTTAAATTTTTATAAAACATTTCAATCTACCTGCTTAGGCTTAGACTTCTCGATGTTAGCTTCATTTTATTTTTTATAGCAGTTTCTTCGGCTCCAAAAGATTTTACACTTTGACCGTTCAAGAATTATTATATATACACAGTTCTCTGGAAAATATGCCACACAAAAAACAAGCCCGCAGCCCGATTGCGAGCTATGCTGTTGCATTAAGCTCTGAATTCGAATCTTTTTGTCAGCTTGGCTGGACATTTACCGCTTACACGAACCGATTGTTAATCTTAAAGTATCTGAAAAGAATAATGCTTGTTAAAGTTATTCAAAACAAGATATGTAAACCTGCAGTTAGACTTAGCTTTCATCTGTCAGGCTCGTGAATTTGCTGGTAGATTGGTTCCAAAACTAAAACAATGCATCTTTAAAGTAAACCAAGTCCATCATCTCAATCAATATAGAGCACAGCAAGAGACAGCAGTATGAAGCGACTGGCATTTAATTCAACGGCGTAGGGAGAGTAAATCCTTAGCTTGTCCCACTTGAATCTCAGGGGCATCTCGTCCACGTCCAATTCCGAACCAACAATTGTTCTCTGGACTCGAATACAAAGCAAAACGCATCACATTTCCGGGTGGTCAAGTCTGCGCTTGTGTTGTATTGTCCACATCCAACTCTTCTAGCCAATATACAGATATATATATACACACAGGATGCACATTTAACTTTCGTTTTAGTTATATTATGAAAAAAAAAAAGATGGAGCTTCATTCAAATAGGTTACACCGGCTTTGGGCGGCTCTCGCCCAGAACACATTTTATTCAGAACGCAACATCTTCTCCTTCTGGCGCTGCAGCTTCTTCTTGGACAGCTTCTTCTTTGTGGGCTCGTCATCGGTGGCCTTGGAGACGACCTCCTCCTTCTCGGTGAGGATCACCTCGACGTGGCATGGCGACGACATGTAGGGGTTGATGCGACCGTGAGCGCGGTACGTGCGGCGACGCAGGCACTGGGCGCGGTTAACCTGGATGTGGTGGACAACCAGACGGTCGGCGTCCAGACCCTTGCAGTCAGCGTTGGCCTCTGCGTTGCGCAGCAGCTGCAGAAGGAACTCGGCGGACTTCTTGGGCCAGCGTCCCTGGGTGGTCTTCCACTGCTTGGCCTGAGCGCAGCGGCCAACTCCACCGTTGAAGCGGCGGAAGGGCACGCACTCCTTCTGGTCAATGACGGCCTTCAGGTAGCGCTGGGCACGGCGCAGGGGCATGCGCTTGATGGCCTGGGCGGTCTCATGTGTGTTCTGCAAGAGAAATATTCATTAAGTTTGGAGCTCTTAACTTGAGTAGAGCAGGGGGAAGGGAGCTGCTGCAATTTTGTGCCAAGGTTCAGGTAGAGACGCGGGCATTGATGGCCGGCACGCCGCTGTTTTACAAAGGCTGGGGTTTGCTTTGGGCACAGCTTTCGGCTCGGTGGTCCTGTGATATGGAAGCCACCGAAATAAAAAGCTATGCCCGCACAGAGATCTAACATGGTAACGAACTCGTAGACATTACTCTTCCCACAAAGCACATGGCGTAGACTTGTTTGTACCAAGGTTCAGGTAGAGACGTGGGCATTGATGACCGGCACGCCGCTGTTTTACAAAGGCTGGAGTTTGCTTTGGGCACAGCCTTCGATACGGTGGTCCCGTGACATGGAAGCCACCGAAATTAAGAGCTGTGCCCACTCAAAAGGCTAACATAATGATTCACACAAAGCACATGGTTCTTTGCTCTACATAACTATTAAAAGAAGTAATAAACGTTTAACAACAGATAAAGGTAATAATTTTGTAGGTTATATATGATGATTTAGCTTCCTTCAGCGACAGAGCACGTTGGCAGGCTATGAAATACAACATTAATAAGAATTAACTATATATTTTCAATTCCTCAACTTGCCCTACTGCTGGGTCTATAAATTGAACTAGTTTCGGCCGTCAAATTGGAAAAACACATGTTTTAATCGAAGTATTAGTGTTTACAAGGAAGCAAGTCTGTCGTATTAGTCAATCAATATAGTCTATCTGGTTTGTTTATATAGATCCCTGATCTTTGTGTGTTATTGTGACAAATTATATGTAGAGCCTCGCCAGTGGGCCTTTGTTTTAGCAAGATGCACCCCTACATCTGGACAGAAGCCGTCCACTGACTGGAGCAGCCAGTCAACGCCGGCACTGGGGGAGGGGGAACTAACTAATATGGAACTGTGGGTGAGATTTTAGAAGAACGCGTCCAGTGGGGGACAGCGCTCAGCTGATGAACTCGTCCATTTTTCCCCCTTTTGGGGGGATTATTCCTCTAGCAGCGATGCAAAAGTGAGACGCCGCTCGAGACGGTCATCCACTGATTAGGGCTGCACACTCACACTCACACACACAAAAAAAAACAACAACAAACTGTCGGAGGAGTCTCTCACCTTGAAATGCACACGTAGATTGGGCCCGCGCGCCTTGCAGGACTTGGCAACGTTGTCAGACTCACGGGAGTAACGGCCCATTGTTCGATATCTGTAATATACACCACAATTAGTCGGGCACAAACACTTTTCATATACGTCACATCAAAAAAATAAACACAAAGTTCGGCGGCGTCTCCCGCCGCTTGCGAGCTCCGCTCCTCGAAAATCAAACGGCCATCGGCCCGCCACATTCATAAACCAGGCTATTTCGCGCCTTCGGGCTCGCAAGGGGCCGGCGTCGCGCCGATGCCACAAATTTCACACGGACCCGAAACTATACCTCTTGTTGCTTGGAAAACGAAACCGGAAAAGAACTCGGACCGGAAAAGATGGCACAGACTTGCAATCGAATCGAAATCGAATCGGAATCGGCATCGGAATCGGAATCGCAGTCTAACATTTTGCTAGTCTACACCCTACACGCTTACAGAGGCTCTACAGCGGTCTTCTACACGTTTACAGATACATGGGGTCAAATTCTCACTTTTGGGGTGGATTCCCATGTAAAATGTAAAATTTGCCCTCGGGTCCTGTCGGTTGGATGTTAACAGAAGTTATTATTATTATTATTATTATTACTATACAATTCATTTGTACACTCATTAAATTCAAAAAAAAAAACCTATTAAATTATTACTTGAACATTAATCATAATAATAGTTGTAATATTTAATATAATATGGGAAAAATATGTGTCGATTATAAATGATTTGTTACTCTTCAATTCATTTGCACACTCTTTAAATTAATTACTAAAATCGTTTTAAATTATTCGTAAAACATAATAATAGTTGTAATTTTTCAATATAATGGCATAAAGAGTCGATAGTATTCTCTCGGGAGCGGGCGAATACAAATATTATTAAATATTAAAGAAAATATAATAAATTATCAATTACGTTTCAATTCATTTGTATAAACAACTTATTAAATTATTAATTAATCAGTAATCATAACAATAGTTGTAATTATGCAATGTAAAATGTATAATATAGATGTATCGATACTATCGATGTATTAGTCGTATGAACATCGAGAAAACCGGTAGTGGAAAATATCGAATTTTTGCCAGCTCTCATTCGAATATCAAAACATCTCTCTATCGGCAAATCGAATACTCATTTAAATGACCGGTAAAATTCAAAATGCGGCTAGATATCATATATTTATTACACTAATTCGTCTTCCGACTCCCCACTACAGCTTGGATCTGGCCAGGCGTCGTCCCTGCGCGGCCATCGGTGTGCCCTCCTGTCGCAGCTCGGTCAGCATGGATTGCCGCCAATGGCGCAGCAGGAGCCGCTTGGTGGCCATCAGCGCGGACGGTGGCAGACGCGAATACTGATCCATGCGGTCCCAGAACTCCTGCGACTCGCTCACGACGCTGGCCACCAGGCCGCAATGGAGCGCGGTCCTCGCGTCCGCCTGCTCGCCCAGGTGGAGCAGCCAGCGGATGTGTGGCAGCGTCCAGAAGGGGCCCGCCTGGGCGCAGGGATCCAGGTGCGAGAGGGCGGGCAGGAAGACGGCGGCTTCCGTGGCATAGACCAAATCACACAGGCTACACACGCTGAGGCCCAGGCCAACGCATCGTCCCTGGACCAAAGCCACCAGCAGCTTGCGCTGCGCCAGCATCTTCTTGGCCAGCGAGCGCATCACAAAGTTGGCCGACTTTTCGTGAATATACCGATCCTCGGCATCGTCGCCGCTGACTGCTAGTGTTTCCTTTGTCATAGGCAACTGGCGGTGCCTCTTCACCTTTCCCTGCTCCAGCAGCAACGGATCGTGCGGTCCCACGGATAACTCGCCGGATAGCACCACCACCTGGACAGTGGTGTCTGCGTTGGCCGTGTCCATGACCCGCATTAGTTCATAGATGGTGCGAAGGTTCCAGCGTCTCTGGAACTCTATTTGGAGTAACGCGGGGCGGCGCCGCCTAACGTCCAGCTCCCTAAAGTTGCTATAGCTCGCGTCGGAGGTCGACATTGCCTCCATCCGAATCGGCAATTGAGACTGACAAGAGCCAAAGTGATCTCAGTGAGCATAGGCCGAGGCGCCGAGCATCGAGCGATCAAAGTGCAACACGTCGCTGCTATCAGCTCCGCACAGCCCGTTCGCGGGCAAGATGCCAATTGACAGCGCAGTTTCGCCTCCATGCTGTGCGTATTAATAGAGGCGTCATGGAAGTGAATGCCTACCGCAAGCTAGTTATAGGCTCGGGGTTATCGACACTTGCCCGTCGCCTTGGTAGCTTATCTGAAACCTGTTTGCTTGGACTACTTACAAGACACTTTTATGCACATATGCAGCTGGTCTGTTCTGGGTTTAGTGTACTTTAATAGCTACCTATCTCTAAATGCTAATAATATACAAGTGCCTGGCTTCAGAATAAATACGTTGGGCCACTCCCCCGATTCAGTGCTCGTCCAGGTGGGAGAACTTTTTGCGCAGCTTCTCGCGGCGCTCCTTCTTCACGTGACGCCAGGGCTTGGCTGCCGCTGCCGCCGCTGGATCGGTGCTGGCCACCAGTGAGCCGTCATTGGCCAGGCGAACATGCGGAAAGTTGGTGCGACCCTTGACATGGGCATGGTTCGGCTTGTTGGAAAAGAACTGATTGTCCAGCTCCTTGGACGTGCTCTTGTCAATCTAAGGGGAGATAGATCTCAATGTTAAAAAATCGAATTCAAGTGATGTATGTAATACTCACTCTCATGGCCCTCTGCTGTTGACTGGGCAGTTGCGACTCCTCGATGACCTTGCGCTGGCGCTCGGGGAAGGTGTGATACTCTGCTTGGGGCACCGAAGGCGGACCCATGGCATACAGCAGCCGGCCGTTGACATAGTCTTTGAGCACATAGCGAGCTGAGCGCGCCTGATCCGGCTGTCCGTTGGAGGTCATAAAACCCCGATTGTCTGCGAAAAAGAAAGAGAGGGAAGGGCTTAGCGACAGGGCAGATACAACAAAGCACATTGTACTCACATCCGTAAGCTAACAGCAGTTCTTCCGAGTGCGGTGGCCGCTCCATATCCTCGCCTTCCAGCGGCTTGGCTATCACAATGCCATACTTATCCTCAAGAACGTGACGCGGTATGCGCTCGCACAGCAGATTGACGGCGGGCACATGGTCACGCATCTGGTCGATGGGCAGAATGCCGTTGAGCAACATGTCCGCCTTGGTGAGAACAAAGCTGGGCATTACCAGGCCGGGACAGTCACAGAGCAGTATGTCCTTGTCCAGGAAGAGCGTCTGGAACCGCTTGGTCTTGCCAGGTGTGGCCGATACGGACACCTTCTTCACAGTCATCAGTGAGTTTATGGTGCTGCTCTTACCCACATTGGGATAGCCCACCATGCCGATAGTGACGTGCTGCTCCGTATGTCGCTGTCCAGTGTAGATGTGGCGCAGGAACTCAATGAGCTCAAGGCGGGACAGCAGACGAGAACTGTTCTTGTCACCCGGCAGACGCGGCAGTTGCTCCTTCTCCTCTTTGTCCACCTTCAGTTTTCGCTCGATAGCATCTAGTGTGTCTTCCACCTTGTCCAGCGACTGGGCAATCTCCTCGGCGGCCTCACGCAGCTGCTGCACCTCCGAAAAGGAGTCATGGCGCGCCGCCTCCGCTTCCCGCTTCAACTCCTCCTCGACCAGAGTGGCGGAATAGAAGGCCGTTCGGATGCCTTCGTTGTCGAAGTATTCCGCCCAATGGCGACGCTGCTCCGCTGTGAGCAGGTCCGACTTGTTCACCAGGATCATGTTCATCTTGCTGGGGTCCACCTCCTTTACGTAGCGCTCCAAATCGACGCTGCGGAAGAGCAGCGGATTGCGAGCGTCCACGATCTGAACAACGACATCCGAACGCTCCACCACGCGCCACAGCTGGCGCCAGAACTCCAGATTCTTCTCGTAGGGCGTCATTAGAATCTCCTCGTCCTCCTGTAGTAGGGCCAGGTCACGACGCCAGTCGAGAAAGGCCTCATTCTCGGCCCGCTCCAGCTCTTCGGCGCTTGTCTCCTTGCTCCATTTAGGGCGGCGTGGTATCTTCAACTGGTCGCGGTGCTCGACGTGCTTCTGGTGCATTCGCTGCTCCTGCGTCTTGCTCAGCAGCCCTACACGCTGTTTTGGATTCACAAACGTAATGTTAAGCTTCTCGGCCTGGAACTCAGTGCCGGCCAGCTCGGCAGTGCGCAGAAAGGCCTGGAACGAGGACTCCTCCGTGACGGACGATAGGTTGAGGCGACCCCAGTCATAGCCATCCTGTAGTTCGGTTGTGTGCAGCTAGATAGGATTAGGGAATATGCGTTAAATTCACAATTTGCCTATTGCTTTCTCTTCTACGCACTTACCATCGTATCGTTGTCCACCTTGCGGCGGGGCGTGTGACCGAATCGATCCTTGATCAACTGGCGGCCCAGATTGGGCGTCGAGCCCTTGTTTTTCTTTCCCATTGCGATGCTAAAGATGCCGAAATACGTATAAAATTGTGGAATTTAACAAAATAAAAACACGTGTGAAGGCGGCAGTGTGACCGTCACTTCACCGTTGAAAAATACTTTAAAGCTTTTTCGCAGCTGTTCTAACCGGCGGACAGAGTTGTTAAGTCGCCTGCTTTTTCTTAAAATTTCTATCTTTATTTATTAATTCAACCTACAAATTTATTTAAACATTTCTACCCTTTGCTTTTGCTTAAAATCGTTCGTTTGTTGTAGTTATTTACGTCTTTGTTCATTTGACAAAACCAAGTAAGTTTCTCGCCAGCATTTGGCAACACTGATTGCACAGCAACAACAAACCGAGTGTAAACAAACCGATTTAAAGTCGCGAAATTCACCTGCTTTTTATCATCCCCGGAAGCCAGGCCACCCCAACCCCCCAGCAGCAGAATGTCCGGCAAGGACGATCGATCCAAGGAGTGAGTTGATTGCCGGACAACGTAACCCCAGAAGTTGCTATTTAATCTACATTTTGTGCTTGCAGAAAGCGGAGGAATATGAAGCAGTACAATCATCACCACAAAAAGGACCAGCCCAAGGGAAGGTCCACAACCACATCGTCGGGATCACCACCGCCGAACTCACGGCGCAGCATGGTCGATGTGGCGGATTCCAGCGACGAGCCAAGATTCCCACCGCGCGGCAATTGGCAATCTGGCGGCACTGGACGTAGCGTCCTTGCACCGCAACGAAACCGTGAGCTGCTGAATACACTGCCCAGTGACACGGACGACGTTGATCAGCAGCTGGGCCTAGACGGTACACCCATTGATGAGAATGCCCGTGCCCAATTGCGGGCGGGCGACTTCCAGCAACTGGCGCAATTCCCCAATCTGGGCGGCGGCCACTTCACCTTCGGGTCTGAGCGCGAGTGGAACAGCGTGGCCGAGGGCCAGACCAAGCTGAACACCAAGGCCGCAAGCGGTTACTTCACCCTGAACCTGAGCCTACTAAACGCAGGCCTCCAAACAATTCCATTTTACAAGCGCATGGACTATTCAGCGAGTATGTTCACACGCCAGCAGATTATCGCCCAGGACGAGGCTGCTGAGCGAGCAGATGCCGTTTACCAAAAGCGCATTCTTCAGGATGCCAATGGTGGTGGCACAAAGTCGCGGGCTCCCTCAGCCAAGTCAACCAAAGAGGCAGCACCTACCCCTACACCTACAATCACTGCTACTACTGCTGCTGCTGCTGCTCCCGGGGAGCCCGATGAGCTCGATGAACTGCTGGCCATGACTAATACGCAAATGGATCTAAATTCCGGAGGCATTGGACCCATAACCATGCCTATGCCCATGCCCATGGTGCAGCCGGCTACGCCCTCATCGGCTGCCAGTAAAAACGAGGTGGAGCAGTGGCTAGACTCGGTCTTGGATGAGTGAACTTGGATTGATCTGGAGATTTGAACTTGTTACGCTTACAACGCACACGAGCTAATTGAAATCACCAAGTGCGCTTAGCTTTTAAATCCCGAAACTTGGTTCCTTGAACATTATTAAATATAGCCCCAAATTGTACAATTTTATATCAACATCTATTGCTTTTTTTAATTTATACATTAAAGCCACTAAAATAAGCATATGCTTAGCTTTAAAGCAGACTTAACACGTGTTTCCGATAATGGCCAGGTACTCGCTCAGCAACAGATGGGTTTATCATCGCCTAGTTTTCTTTAAGAACCATTATTTTTGCACACATCTATTATATGATTACCACTCTGGATCTGCAGTGGAATTGTGTGGTTTAAATTTAACTGATGTTTTATTTCATTCATTGCTTTTATGGACAATCCAACCCTGGAAATCAATGAAATTAACATATTGGGCAAGTGGGTTATTCAAATTAGCTTTGTAGGTAAAGTGTAAACGAGTCAAAAGCCCAATTACCAAGCGGTTGCGTAACACTTGAAGTGTAAACGTGTCTCTTTTTCAATCTTTTTCAAAATAGTTTGGATTATATATTTGCATTTAAAGTCATTTTAATCTAGTTTTAGATAGGAGTCCAGAGTCTGCTCCATAAATTGTCTCAAGAAATGACTGTTTTAAATATTAATCTGATCAATTTCGCTTGGTTACTCTATTTACTGAATTCTTCTGGAGTTCAACAACGAATTCCTTAATTCAAAAATTTAAAAAAGAAACACGTGATATTAAACTTATTCAAAGGAATATTGGAATGGGAGATAAAAAGAAAGAATCGATAATTTTGGCTTCGTTTACATTCTGTTACACTGTTAAGCGATCTGGTAGCCCCTTCCCTCTGAAGTTTTGCAGCTATGGACCCATTTCCTGTCTAAATCGAAGTTCATTTCGTTTTCATACGTTGTCCGGAGCAGTTCAAAATTCTCAGTAAATTTTAAGTAGTGTTCTTTTTCGGCATATAACTTTATTTTATTAACACAGGTGAGTCCTATACAGTGCTTTTAAAATCAGTTCCCGATTTCTGTGTAAAGTTTGTGTTGAAAAAAGGCGGTAATTTCTAAGAAATTAGCATAAATGCGCGACTTTCAATTTAGGCATTCACCAAGAAGAAATCAACTTTTTGAGGCTTTTTCTAGAAATTCGTAGTTCCAATAAAAATCATAAAGGTCGCAACTAACCTCAATTTCTTGGTCGTTTTCCCGTGTATAGTGCTAATCTCTTTTGAGGTTAGAATATTAAATCTAATGTAATCATGTTGTTAATATTAAAACACCAACTTTCCTTCGCTAGTTTACATATTATAAATATAATCCCTACAAGTTTTGAACCGTATTTTGGTTTCTTTTGAACAAATTCAAAATATTATCTAGATAACAGTGCGTAAACTTGCAGAATACTATATTAAAGAAGAAGCTTTTTTCCCAGAAAATGTGAAAAGTCGACAGATAACCTCAAAAACTATGTTCTAGAGTTTTCCGACCTGGTTTCGTTTATTATAAAAATGATTTTCCACAACATAACCTATTTTACGGTGACGCCTGCGCAGTACCTGTGCTTGCTTCTTCTTTTTGAGGTTAGAAATTTAACTTTGTTGGAATTGTGCATGAAAACTAGCACTTTTACATTTATTTCGCTTCTGCATATAATTTCAATGCGTTCTTTATTAGTTTTGAGTTATTGTTCCTTGCTAACTCAAATAAAAAAAAATAAATTTGGAAACGTCTAGAAAGAAAAATGACGTTGACGTTGACGCTTGCGCATTACCACTGCTTATACATCTGTTTATTCTTTTTGGGTTTAAGAATTCAACTTTGTTGCATTTACAATTTCAATAAGTTTTTTAGTAGTTTTGAACTATATTTCTTTGTTAATTTAATTATGTTTCGGAGTAACGCGTCCGTAAATTTGAGCATACTACTTCAAAGACTCAGATTTTTGACTAAAATCCAAAACTTAAACAAATTCCGAAACTTACAGAAATAAAAATGCAAACAAATGTATTTGCCAATATGCTTATATTGTGTTTAAGTTAATTCATTTATTTTATAATGTGTGGTTATAATAAACATGCTCGAATAGGACTAAAGAAATTTACCTTCTGTCAAGAATGTCTGTGTATTCTTAAATTTGATTTCCGTCATTGGATTCCCCGCTTAAGGTTAGGGCACTATTGGCTTGGTAGCACTTGATAAGGTGGCCGTGCAGGATCTGCATAAGTTCGCAGATGGCTTCCAGAAGCACTAGGCGTTCCTCCAGGTGCCCCAGATCTCCCGAGAGCATTTGGGGACGCAAATCCTGAACGATAGCCGTAAGCCAGCGAAATAATATGGCCGAGTCCTCCTTGGAGAGTTCAAGTAGTTCCGGAGGCACACCAACCTCCTGACAGAGTATCTGTCCATTGCCAGCGAGAGGCCCCACGATAAGGAGACAGGAAATTAGGCGGACCACCAGATGGAGGGCATGCATATAGGACTCCACGTAGACGCGGGGATTGACCATGGCGACAACCAGCAACAGTGCTGGGCACGGGCGCAGGCGGTGCGAGTCCAGACCCAGGTCCGTCAGACGGGCCAGCATGGCCCACAGCAGGCAGTTGGCCACCACACGAGCCATCAGGCTCAAGGGACTGGCCACTCTGAAGCAGAGGATCAGGTTTAGCATCACTTCCGAATCGCTGGCCTCCAACAGTCCGAGAATATGGCTGCACAGGTGATGGACCTATTGGGGCGAAAGAGTAATCACGAATCGAGAAATTAGGAAGAGAATAATTAAGCGGCAACGTACATAGGTTTCCTCGGTGCAGGCCAGATACTCGAAACAACGCTGCATGAACAGAGTCCTCTTCATCTGGGTACTGGCCAAATTCTCGTGATGCAGTAGATATACCATCATTCCGGTGACGTGGATCGCGGCCAGTCGCTCTGCGCCGAACTCGATCTCCTCCTGACTGAGCAGACAGTCAAATCCGGCTATGATCTGTGGATAGACAGGACACAATAACTAGAGGTAGAATAACTCCTAGATATCTCTTACCTCCAGAATGTTGTTGGTGCCATAGATAAAGTAGCACTGCTCACGGATCGCCGAATGGCCCAAAGTAAGGCGCAGTTGCTCCAAGCTAAAACCCTGGGGTCGCACCATATGGGCCATGAATGGGCGGGCTTCTCCGGACGGATTTGGACACCAACTGTGTAAAAGGAAGACGATTTAGGGATGTCGGATGGCAGGTCCTCTCGTGGATCTCCTTGCAAATTAGTGACATCTTGATAGATGTGTGTGCAAATGGCCAACGGCATTTTAATGAGCTGTGCTCCCCAAACATTTTGTCCCGTTTTCAACCTCACTTTGAGGGCTTGGCCAGATGCTGAATTTACAGTGTGTGTTGCCTAAGGCAAACTCAATTCCCTCGGTATATAGATTCTTCAGTGAGGCAGGAACTAAACAAGTTAATATTCTTTATTCACGAACTATACGAATTTCAATTATTTCATTTAATGATCCAGGAGATCGTTTTCTTTCCAGCATTCACTGTATTTCACGATTTTCATAGTGCAAAACGCCTGCCGGTGTATGTGTGTACTTGTCCTTGCGCTGCTTTCGAAAAGGCTATGCAAAATGCAGATGCACGCGCGATGTGCGCATTTTAGCATAAAAGTCATCTAGCCTCCGTCTCCTGGTGCTGCTCGTCCTGCTCCTTTGCACCTGCCACGCCCCACGCCCCACGCCCCACTGCCGCTTGAAGTTTCTTGCGTACTTGCGAAATATCTGCTCATTATGCATTCATATTTTGCAATTACTTGCACTCACCCACCCACACACCCACACACACACACGCCGGGACGTAAACAAACGGTTGGTAAAAAGAGCAAGAGGTGTAAGCGGGATGGCCATAACAGCAGCGCAAACTGTTAAGTTCCTGTCAACGGGGCTTTGTATGTGTGCGTGTCTCTTCTCGCTCTCTATCTCGCTTGGCCTTTTCTTTCTTTCTGCCTTCTCCCTGTTTACTTTTTTTTTTAAATATTTTCTTTTTTTTGAGCGCTTGCCCCATTTGCTTGAAATTTTTCACAGAGATTCCCCATTGAAATTTCCATATTCACATATTTTAATTATGCGCCGGCATGAAAAGATTAACAACTTTTCGCAGCCAAGTCACTGTGCATTTGTTCCCGATTTTAATTATTCATATTCACCATATTTGTATTTACAAAGAAGGGGCCAGCATCTTACATAACCTCACTTTGCATTTCTATTTCCTTTTCCCCCGAGCAGGCAGTGCTTCAACACACCGGCTGAAAGGCACACAGGCACTTATGCAAATCAGTTCTGTTTTGTTTGAGATGCGGATTCGGATTCGGATACGGATACGAATCTGATCTGATCTAAATTAAGCCACAAAGACGGCGGCGACGACAAGTGCAAAAGGCCGAAACTCCCCTCGGATGCCGCACAATCACTGGGCTCTTCAATTAGCCGCGATAAAAGCGCTCAATTAGCGAGGGTTTGCTTAGCTTATAGCGATTTGTAAATACAGTAGAACATCCCTAAGCCATAAAGATGATGTTGGGATTATTGTTCCAGTTACAGAAACGCTTACAACTTCGTTTTAGTTTCAATTAGGACATATTCGCCCCGGGGATGTCCGACTGTGTGGCAGCAACAAATAATAACAATCATACCCTTCCGACGATGACAAGTGGCTAGCAGAAGCTCGCTCTACAGCTACCCTTTAATTTTTCGGGGTGGACCTGATGAGGCGCTTGTGCTGCTTGTAACCAATCTGGGCATTTTACGCCTAATTTAAGGCAAATTGTTGACATAAATATGTAAGCCACCCCCCTTACATTTCCACTTTTCCACTTTCCCGTTTTTTGGGCTTTGTGGCCGCCAGGCATTTTGACAAAAGCCAACAGATTTTCATATCATTATGCGTTGATTTGTGCGATTTTGGGTTTTGGATTTGTATTATGTGAAGGGGGCGGTTCTGCGCCCCCCTTTTTGTTTGCTAATGAAGTTGTTGTTTACACAAATGCGCCACCGCCGCCGAGGAGTGTGTGTCATTCGTATAAGGTATGCAAATTGATAACCCAAACAAGCGGCTGGGACATATCGTCCACCCACCAATTAGGTCCAACTTTTTGTCATCCGAGAAACTTGGACGGACGCCTTGACGATTTGTCGCGACAGCGAAATTCGAGGAGTTCGTTTGAATTATTTTGATATATGTATATAGGCACTTGCCTTTGTGTATGTTCCGAGAAAGTAAATTGAATTTCATTTCAAATGTTTGTTTTCTACACATAAAAGACATTGATTTCATGTAATATTAACAAAAAACACAAAAGAGAAACCCATGAGTTCTTAGAAACACATAAAGGAAATACTAAACTTATTTCTTGACTTATAACGCTTAAACCGGCAAACTTTGAAGATAATATTCTTACAAAATTAGATATTAGACAACTCTTAACATATAATTTCATATGCTTTTCTTTGCCCTCCTCTGCAGATGTCTGCTCCGGGACCTTCTGGCCAAGGACCTTCTGGCCAAGGGCCTTCTGGCTGCACCCTGGCCAAGCTGCGCAGCTTCGTGATGAACAGCAACCTGGCGCCCCATTTGAGGCGCTTCAGCACCTCCAGCGGCGTCGTCGAGGTAAGGCCACAACTCTAATATACCCAACTATATTAGAATCTAAAATTCAAATTGAAAACTACAGCAGGTGGAACGCCATTTCCGCATTTTGCTGCGGGGCATCAAATTCTGGGAGCTGGACCGTATCCAACCAATGTTCACTGCGCTCTGCATGCTCATCCTGACCAAGGAGACGAACACGGATGGTCTTTGCTTCAAACGCAGCGGCCTGATGGGACGCTTCATTGGGTTTGTTGACTGCTTGGACCCGATGAAGGTAAGTTTGTATTCTTAACTTTTGATAGCTAAAGAGATTAGCCTATAGATTATCCTAGATTTGATCAATTTTCTAATGAATTTCATGTAATTTCTCTTTAGATTTTTCAATAAGTTCATAGAAAATCAATGTTTATGTATCGATCCATGTAAATGCTGGTTTTCTGCCTAACAAATCAAATATAAAACCTACCTATATAGGGTTATTCAATAGTTTCCATAGAACTCTAGTAATAACAAACAATAACTCAACTTCTGAAGAAAGTGTTCTTCTGAGATTTGCTACTTCAATAGAAATGAATGATTACCTTTTCTATATATAACTAAATTCCCCTTCCTTCGCCTGCCATATAAACTACATCTATAATTTCCTTCCAGGCTCATCAGCTACTCGAAAAGATGCTGGAGGATCTGGCAGAGTATCAAGTTGATAACGATGTGAACCTACTCAAACTCGCATCAAAGCTGTACGACATAAGCCCTAGCGGCCGTGTCTTGGCCGTCTGCCTACTGTGGACGGTACTGGGCCATTGCCTGCCCGCTCTGGAGATAACCATGTATCGCTACAGGGAGCCAATGGAACTGGTCGAGGCCATTCGAAAGAAGCCACCAACCTCGCCCAGCGTCTGGCTGTCAGATGAGAATGAGCTGCCCATGGAGACCGTACAGGCGAATATGGAGTCACTGCGCGTGATGTTGGAGGCGATGGAACGCGTCCTCGATCTGCTGCTATCTTGTGACAACGATGATCTGAGGAAATTTGGCTATCCGGACCACTTTTTCGTCCTCGAGAGAGCTGAAAGCACTTTCCTCTCCGACTGGTGCATCGATTTGTCCAATGAGCTGCCTGCCAGTATGTGCGGATCTCGTGGAAAGGTGAGTGGGCTGGGAACTAACTCAAAGTTTAAACTTTACTTTACTGGAAACTCTTAATCTTTTTATTCCAGTTTGGCGCACCCTTGCACGGCATTATCGGCCTGCTGATGAAGTGCAGAGAGGAAAGTATTCCAGATTTTGATGCATCAGCGATGGTGGAGACCACCATGAACCTGAGCAGCGATTAGGCCAAGGTCAACAATTTCTTTGCCATTGGCATTTTTCTTCTTCATATTTTTTCTAAATTTTTCTGGAGTTTATATTTTTTTGTACCACCGTTGATGATTACGGGATTCAATTTTAAAACCAGAGTCCACATTCAAAGGATTTACGTCTGGATTTACATCTATATATTCATCACAACACCAAGAACCAAAAGAAGAATCGCCTTGGAAGACATTTCAAAGCCAGAGAGAGGCTATCTATAAAAAAAATGAACTGAAACCACATATTTTGCGGAATATGACAAAAAGTGGGCTTTATAAAAGGTACACTACTACGAATTAAGCATTAGAATAGTAGATAAATCGTCTTGAAAGACAAAGAGGCTATCTATCAACAAGTGAATGAACTGAAAATCCGATACGGAACATGACAAAATGTGGGCTTTATAAAGGTATACTAATACGTATTAGGAAAAGGACATTAACAACCGAATGAGCGGAAATCCAAATAGTCCTAGTAGCCTTTATAGAGGAACACTACTATTAATTAAGAATATTAGAATATAAGATATTGGATTTAAGCCGTTCCGAGTGACAATACGCGTCACCACACGGCATCGACACTCTTACAAAACAAGGATGCTCACACTAGACACTGAGATATAATCAAAAGTGGTTTGCTGGTAATGATTTAACCTGGCAACTTGGCAAAAACATATCGCTCTGCTACTAAGTATATCAATCGGCGGAACGAAGACACAATGCTCTATGAAAGGGCTGAAAGAATACAAATCGAGAACATGAAACACAGAATTTAACGGCATTTAACAACGACCTGCCCAAGACGCACTATATAGTATTAAGAACTAGATATACATATTTATCAAAACATTCAGAGAATCCGTCATGCCAAGACGGATTTTCTTGGCTAATTGAGGGAGCCATAACTTGCAAAATATGATTTAAACAAGAACGAAGAACAACGAACGAAACCAAAGCAATGCTGGGGACAAATTTGGGATTTAAGGGACCCATTAATCATTTATCGGAGATCCAATTAGTAAGCACGACTAATATTGGTGGTAAACATACATACGGATACTTGGTTACTTGGTTGGTCCTTGTAGATTTTGTATGATAATAACGGTCCCATCTCTGGAATACCACCCATCCGATATCTGATTTATACTGAAACATACAATTCAAAAATCGCTATGGAAACATCAACAAAACACGAATTTACATCATACATATTCACACACACATTTTCGGATCGCTGTTTATAAGAAAATATATAAACAGGGACCATACAGGCAGGCAACAACTGTAACAACTTTTCACTTTAGTAATGAATATGCGGATGATTAATAAATAATAATGTACAACAAATTTAATGTGTTTCTATCTAAATTAAAGAATAGGGTAAATGCCAAGAATAGCATCTTTAAGATAAGGACAAAATCAAATAAAAACCTAATATAGTTCTGGATAATAAAAGAATTCATGTTCATAAAACAGGGTATTATAAAGTTTGTTAGAAGTGCAAAACGCAGTGAAGGAGTCATTTCCGACCCTATAAACCATATATATTCTTGATCAGCATCAACAGCGAAATCTTTCTAGCCATCTGTGGCACAAAAAATTTTTTTTCAAAAATTTTCAAATTTTTCAAAAAAAGGAAAGGGGTTACATCGTTAAAAATTGGCAAAATGTCCAACTTTTTTAAATCTTAAATTGAGTATGCAGATTTGTTAACCTAATAAAATCTAACATAAAACAGCTTTCCGAATTCAAATTAATGTTTTTTTGGTTGAGTTATGAGTTTTTTAAATCTGTGATTTTTTAGAAAATTGTCTTTTACATATATTATAGTATCAATTAAGAAGTTTCAAATATTTAAAGCTCAGTTATGATAGATATTCGATTGGATTGCAAGGGCAAGGGTACATCAACTTCGGCTTTCCGAAGTTACTTTTCGTTCTTCGCTTTTTAAGTTTGCAAGCTTAAATTTATTTAAATTGCAAACAGGTGCTTCTTTGTTTCCCTTTCCACACATTTTGTCACTATTAGTACATTTTACTTAGGCAGCCAAAAGAGATATCTGGGCTTGGTTCAACTCTAATTCACAATTATCCAGGCAAGTAAACCGATTTTAATTGTTTTACTGAAGAATCTAATTCACTTTTAATTCCACTCACTTCTCCATTGTTTTCAGATTGTCCAGCGGATTGCAACTAATCAATCGATCGATCGATCCGGCCTTTGGAGCCTGGACTTCACTAGGCCCAAGAGCGCCACATCCAACCTGTTCGGGCTCGATGCGGGCAGCTCTATCAACCCGGTTCGGTTCGGCGCGGTGCGGTTCGATGGCCAGCACAGTGGGCGAGGGCACAATGCGGCAATTAGGGATAAAGATGACTGATATGGATGCGGGATGGATGGATGCTGCTGATCCGAAAGGACAAACAAGTAGCAAGTGTGGCACGGCCCGCGGCACAAACACAATTTGTGACAATTTTCCAACCGGATAATGACGAAGCATTCTGTTTTTTTTATTTTTAATCACAGAATGGAAAGCAACCACCAATGGCAGCGGCAGCAGGATAACACGCAAATTTTCACACAATATGGCAAACATCTCCTTCCTCTCCTGGTGCCGCCATTCGTTGTCGCCCCTGGCCTTCAACCGGAAGTCAAGTGTGTCGAGTCGTGTCGCCCTCTGTCTCCCTCATAGTCCTTTTTAATGCCTGCGGTCGGCAGATCCTGGGGGATCAGGAATCTGTAAACCGGATCCCACACCCTTAATGCCAGCCTGCCCTCCGGCATAGATTTAAATCGAAATTGGTAAATAATGCGTTGACAGTAACTTTCGGTTTCAGTTACAGGGTCCTTGCCTCGAAGTCAAGTGCTTCCAGCGTAGGATTTGTCATTTTTAAATCACACTATATATATAATTTATACTTTAGTCTATTTGTTAAGGAAAGTCCGAAAATCAAAAGCTAGCCCTGATAAGTATAATGCATTTTTTTGTTGTTGCCGAGTCTAGAGTTTCATATCATTCAGCCTGGATGCATGCACCAGTTAAAGTTGATTCTTTTTCCCCTTTCTCTTTTTCATTTTCTTTGTCTTTGTTTTTTTTTCTTTTTTGCCAAGTTCTTCATTTGTTTGCTTTTAATTGCAAAGTTGGCAAACGCTGAAAGCTTAATGCAATTAATAACTCATTAAATAAATACAAATCAAAGTGGACGCCAGGCTCAAAAGAAAGAGGAAAAGGTGAAGAGTGGGGTAGGGGGGGGGGGGTAAAGGATAACGCTGATCCTTTGTGCTCAAAGGATGCCTGCGTAAAATGTACCAATTAAAAATGCAATTGAGATCTCAATTGCGCTGCGCAAATGAACCGCATGAATGTGGAAATGCGAAAAATGCAAGAAAAAAAAAGTAAAGCGAAACGCGAACGAAAACGTACATAAATCTGAATCCAGATTCTATATCTATATTGTACATACCTATCTCCAAGTGGCTGCTGTGGGGCAGTGCGGGGCTTAGCTGCGTTTTATTCATTAAATTACGCTCACATTTCATAGACAATTTCATGGTAACCGTAACTCGTTTTCCATTTCCACTTCCCTTCCATTTTGCCATTTTTCTATGGCTCTCTTTAGCTGCCGTTATTTTGTTGGCTCTTGTACAGCTTGTGCTTCTGCTCCTGCTTCTACTTCTGCTGCTTCCATTGCCTTTGCGTTTGTTTCCGGTGGATCCCTTCAAGTGTCTTTTTAATTAGCGTCCTGCTTGCTCCGCACCACTCAAAAACTACTCCACACTGACTAACTCTCCGGCAGCCGCCCCCATTTCATCATCTCACTTTGTCTGTCTGCCATCGACTGTGTCCTTCTCTGCCTGCCCGAGCGCTCCGCGTCGCTCTCGCTCTCTCTCTCGCGCTTGTTAACTCACTCACCGCAGATTCAATTTGTGGCTAAACATTTCTCCTCCTTTTTGTGTAGCGAGCTAAATGTGCATGAAAATGTAACTGTAACTACAGTGCGCCCTCATGATATAATTACCACAGAGTGGAAAGTTTAAAATTTGTGTGTCGTATACTATATATAAAATAAAGAGATATATTCTAAAAAATATAAAACTCAATCTTAACAAGAAAGATAAAATCAAAACCGAAATTCTAGAATAATATAAAATGGCTACGTCCCAAATTTGATGAAAATATTTTGAAATAGTTTTAATTTTTAATTTTATTCATATTTCGATCGTTCCTATGACAGCTATATGAAATAGTAATCCAATTTTCATTAAATGTAATCCGAAATTTAAGAATAATATAAAACAGCTCTATATATAAAATTGATGAAAATATGTTGAAATGTATATAATTTTTAATTCATGCTGATCAAGAATATTTATACTTTATATGGTCGGAGATGACTCAATCTTAGCCTTACTAAAATGGGAATACCCTGCAAGGGTATACAAATCATTAAAACATATTTATGCACTTCTTACTGTGCAAACTGTTTGAATTAGCGAATAATGACTGTATATGGAGGCAATGCCACAGCCTCTGTCGTGGCCTCTGTTGCATTGACGCACTGGTGCCATCCCGCTCTTGCACACTCCCCGCTCATGCGCCGTCTGGACTCCTTTGGTCCGTTATAATTGCGGGCAGATTTGTTGCTTGTTTTCCGGTTGGCTGGTCCATTGCCCCTCTTCTCATTCCACAGTCTCTCTCTTTTTCTCTCTTCACCATTCCTACTAAAGAATACGCTGCTAGTGTGGGTTGTGCATCCATTTGCATGTATTTTTGTACATACAGAGAAGCATGTGATTCCTCTGTTTGTGGGTGCATATGTCGCTGGTTATTTTCTATATAGCGACAAATTGATAACGTTTTGTGCGATTCGCTCAAGTTGATTTTCAAGCATTGGCTTACAGCTCACCGAATGCAGATGGGCGAGCGGCACTTAACGGTTCTGATCCGTTATGTCCGTCCTTTTCGTATTCTTCTTTGTGTGCCTGGAAGCCTTTCAAAAGAAAGCGAAAACCTTCCAATAAGATATCGAAAAACACGAAATTATCGATTAGAATTGATTAAAAAGCCAAGAAGTTATTTAATAATTAAACAATTCAATGAACTAATTCATAATGAAAACTCCTCAAAGCGTGAAATTAAATATTTATTTTGGCAAAAAAAAAAAAACACCTTCATAGAGTGCGAAGAAAAAAAAGGTTTGATTGATTTATGTATATTACAGTTAATTCAACTAAGCCTAATTTATGATTATATCGTTAAGTACATGTTTTATAATAATAATATCGGGTACGCTTGGTAAATACTGCATTGACGTTGGCAATGACATCGCCATCGACATCGTTTGGTAAATTAGCGTTGGCAACGTCACCCACATCGCATCTTCCTCATTGCCATCGCAGTCGTTATCGATCTCGATTATCTTCAGATGGTTATTGCACAAGAAGTGTTTTTCCTATTTGCATATTATGTACACAGAGGCAACTGGAGAATTAACTGGGAGTTGGAGTGGTTCCGGGTGGTGTCCATGGATAAGGTTTCTGCTTCCTGGCACGACTCCTACATGGGACAGCCGTGCACATAACCTACGTTACGGAAAATGGCTGCCGCTGCGGCAGAGGTGAGAAAATTGCACGGATTCCCAGCGGCCGCTGCTGCGGCGGCAGCGGCGCTGAAAGAGCTGCTTAAACCGGTGGGACAGCACCCCAATCCGCCGGGGCCACCGCCGCCCCCGCCATCTTGCACCACAAAGTCCTTCTCCAAAGTCGCCTGGTGCCGCAGCTGCTCGAGGCGCAGTTGATTCTGTCGCTTCCACTTGGTGCTGTTGGTTGAAACAGGGTGGAAACAGGTAAGTGGTCGTGAGTGATCTCTAGAGATATCGTACGTAATATCTTAATTGTAGATTCATAGAGTAATGGCGAGTACTCACCGACGGTTCTGGTACCAGGTCTTCACCTGTGTCTCGGACAGGTTGAGGGTCTCGGCGACATCGCTGCGATCGGCCACGCTGAGGTACTTCTGGCAGCGAAACTTGCGCTCCAAATAGGCCAGCTGGGCGTGCGTGAAGGCAGTGCGACGTCGACGCGGCTTGCGTCCGCTCTTGCTTAGCTGCAGTTTGTGTTCTGCGTAGCCACCAGTGGCTCCTGTTCCTCCACCTGCGCCGCTTCCATTGACATCTCCGCCAGAGGCGGCCGCCGCAAGTAGACCAGCTGCCACACCTGCCGCCGCTGCCGCTGCACTCAGTCCAGAGGCCATGCCCACGGCCACACCAGCGGCAGCTCCACCAGAACCGGAACCCGATCCTGGCCGCGGCGTGGCCGAGCCGCAGGACTCCACGCTAGATTCGTCGTGGTGGGTGAATCGATGCCGGTGGTGGTGGTGCGCAAGCAGCAGCTCCTGCTGGCAGCCGGGAGCCGTTGAGTCTGGCGTTGATCGGTCCTCGATGTCTATATCCGAGTCATCATTGGAGAGCTCGAGCTCTGCATTCAAACGGAGGAGATATTGATAATTAACATGGTGCTTTTGTACAAGTCCAATTGGGTAAGTATAAAGTAATGATTGTGATGAGAAATTATGGCAATTTCACCCCCCAGTTCATGCATAGAGACTCGATCAGAAGAGTTTCGAACCCATCAATGCCTTCGATTGACCACTTGAGTTGGGCAAAGGATGCCTGCGTTCGGCCAGGACACTCGCATTGAAACACTGTTGCCTGCTTTCGGGCGCAGCGTGGCGTTAATGCTTCCGTCGGTCTTGGCAGCGCGTGCAGCCACTCCCGGTTGAGAAGAAGCGACCCGGGGAAACTCATTACCGCGCTGCCGGCCACAGACAACAAGTCGCACCCTCAAGTGGGCGTTGGTCCATTAGGAAGACAGCGACTCGAATGGGCTGCAGCAGAAGCAGCAGCAATTTGCCGCAATCAATGTGTTATTTATATCCGCCGCACATATCCGGATCCGGTGTAGGATCGAAATTTGAATCGGAGTTGGACTCTGCGGGCTGCCTGATTAAATTCACGTGTCGTCGAGCGCTCAATTGTTTCGCATTGGAATCTACATGTATGTGAGTACACTGAAATGATTTTTATATTTATTTAATTCAACTGAAAAGAATGCCAATGAAATTATGCACTTTAAAAGTAGTCCACAAACCTTTGTTTGTGAAATTTTCACAAGTTTAAAATATCTAATGGCATGTTAGTCTATATATAAATAGTTTTAAAATGTTTCTGAGGGGTTTATCTATATGAATCGAATAACCAGGAGGTTTAGCTAAATGCTACCTTCTAAGACCACTTTATTTGAAGCTGCAGAAAAACATTTTAAAATATGGAAAATATCAGGTGTTTCTCAATTTCTCAAAAATTTGCAAGTTTGTTTTTTTTTTATCCCTGTGTCACTTAACTTAACGCTCACATTAATGCCATCCGGAGAGCAACCCCCTTTTGGATACTTATCTTCGATTCTTCGCCGCCTTACTGACTTGACGTGAGCGACCGCCCCAGGCGCTCACGTGTGTCCGCTCAGCAAGGATTCCTTTTCGTTATTTTTTTTGCCAAGCGGAAATTATTTATATATTTGTGTATTTTAACCCCAAATGGGTTTCGACTTCTGATTCTATTTATACCGGCTTAGACACAGGACGAAAGCAGAAGGGGTCCTGTCATATATGGGATATAAGCACATACGAAAGGTTATTCAATTATGCATATGTGTGTGTGCGGATGTCCTGGGGAGCGTCTCGAGTGAGTTCTTTCTTTTTCCTTGAAAAGTCACGTCGTATCAATTTGCGGCACAATTGCCATTTAATAGGCACTTGAACTGTGAGACACACACACACACAAACAGAACGCAGAAGGACAAGGATGATGTGTTGTCCTTGCATGTGCCGGCAATTTAGATCGCTTTAAGAATGACGTATTTTCGTCTCAATTGGAGAACAAATCAAATCTAATTGAAGTGTTCAATTAGAGGAAAGATAAAGATCTGTTACTACTTTGAAAATATTAATTGGAAAGATAAATCTTTCCCTGTATAAAAAATATCTTCTTTATACTGATATCCTTGACGGAAAAGCTAAAGGACTAGCTCATACGACGCCAACTCCTGCAAAAGTTTCACTTTCTCCATCTAACTGGTGGCAACAATTAGCTTCTAAATAGTTGTAATTGTTGAGTTAAACTTTATTTAATGTCATGCATAATTAGAAGACAGGCACACACATGGGCCAAAAACCCAACAAAGCCAAAGTACCTGAGGCTGTACACTGAAAAAGATTGTATTATCAAATGCTTTGGTATATAAAAACTGAAAAGCGTCCAGACAAATACATCGGGTATGTGTAAACGAAGATGTTAAATTGTATTTTCTTCTGATTTTATTTTTAAATAATTTGTAAACTTTTAATAGAAGTAATTCTTTGGGTTATGGGTAGAACATAAGATGTGAAGTGTGAGATCTATGGGGAATATGCTTCAATGTATTTTTATAATCCCCTCTTTGAAATGTATTATTTTAAGTGTATTTGTCATTGCAGAACTTGCATTCATGGTTCCTCTTTTAATTCCATCTCCTTTTCAACTGTCCTTTCCCTTTCTGTATTCGGTCTTCTGTTCCCTTTGGCCAAAAACAATTAAAGTGTTCGTACGTGACAAATTGCTCAAGCGCAGGTTACAAATCAAGCAGTGCCAGCCACACTGTAAAAAAGTCGTTCACTCTAGGGAAAATAAAATAAATAAATAATATATAAATTATAGTTAAAATGTGATTCAGAATAGTTTATACTTGTAATATTTTCTTAGCATGTGGGCTAGTTTATTTTTGCCGTGTATGCAGTGCAAGCAGTGCACAATTAAATAACAGCCCCAAGCGCCCGTTTTTCTTGTTGTTTCAACTCATTCATTCCCACCCACACTCTCTCCCTCTCTCTCTTAGCCAGCCACTGTCGCCGTCTCTCCCTCGCTCATTTGCTAAAAGTTTGTTTGCGATAATTGAGCGAGGTGTGAGATTTAAATGCCACAGGACAAAAAGGGAGAGGGAAGGGGAATCGAAGGAGCAAGGCAAGAGAGAGCGAGCCTGGCAATTGTCAGCGAACATCAAAGGTGGAAAGGGAATAACAAAGAGAAGGCTAATTGGCCAACAAAGACGTTTAGTATGTGATCGTTATTGTGTGAAATGAACTCTTTGAATTGGCAACTTATTTCATTGAATAATTTATTTATTTACACTCAAGCATAAACAAAGCATAACTTCCACTAGTTTAGGGATATATCAAAACAATTTTGGTTAAGTTCTTTCCTTGAATATGCTAATTTGTTTACCCTTGAAGGGTATTATGTGTGAAACTTTGTGAAGGAGTCATTTCCGACCCTATAAATCATATAAATTCTTGATCAGCATCAACAGCGAACCCTTTCTAGCTATTTCCGGCACAACAAAATTTTTTTAATTTTTGAACACAAGGAAAGGGGTTACATCGTTAAAATGTTCAAAAATTGACAAAAAATCGATTTTTTTTTTACATTTTAAACTGAGTATGCAGATTTATAAACGTACTAAAAACTAGCACAGAACAGCTTTCCGATTTTAAATTAACGCCTTTTTGGCTTAGCTATGAGATTTTGAAACTTCGATAGTCATATAAAAATAATTCCTAAATTTATACCTATTTTAATACCTTTTAGGATATTTTCATTTTAGTCAGATGCTTGCAACACAGTGAAGGAGGCATTTCCGACCCTATATTTCATATATATTCTTGATCAGTATCAACAGGCGAATCTTTCTAGCCATCTCCGGCAGAAAAACATTTTTTTCAGAATGTTCCATTTTTTTTAAAAAAAGGAAAGGGGTTACATCGTTAAAATTTGCAAAAATGTTAATTTTTTTACATTTTAAACAGAGTATGCAGATTTATTAACGAGTTAAAAACTAGCACAGAACAGCTTTCCGATTTAAAATTAATGCCTTTTTGGCTTAGCTATGAGATTTTGAAACTTCGATAGTCATATAAAAATAATTCCTATATTTATACCTATTTTAGTACCTTTTAGGATATTTTCATTTTAGTCAGAAGCGTGGAACACAGTGAAGGAGGCATTTCCGACCCTATATTTCATATATTTTCTTGACCAATATCAACAGGCGAATCTTTCTAGCCATCTCCGACAAAAAAAACATTTTTTTCAGAAAGGTTAAATTTTTTTTTTAAAAGGAAAGGGGTTTGATCGTTAAAATTAGCAAAATATTAATTTTTTTAACATTTTAAACTGAGTATGCAGATTTATTAACGAAGAAAAAACTAGCACAGAACAGCTTTCCGAATCGAATTTAATGAATTTTTGGCTGAGTTATGCGATTTTTAAACTTTGATTGTAACATAAAAATAATTGTATAAATTAATACTTATTTTTATAGCCTTCAAGGGTATTCTATTTTAGTCAGAAGCTTAAAACGCTATGAAGGAGTCATTTCCCACTCTATAAATCATATATATTCTTGATCAGTATCAAAAGCCGAGTCGATCTAGCCATCTCCAGCATACAAAAAAAAAAATTTCAAATTTTATCAAAATTTTATAAGGGGTCACATCATTAATATTTCCAAAAATCCAATTTGTTTTTACATTTTCTATTAAGTATGCAGACTTACTAACATTGTAAAAACTAGCATAGGACAGCTTTCCGAAATAAAATTATTGCGTTTTTGGCAAAGTTATGATATTTTAACCTTTAGTTAAACAAACAATTTTCCACATAAAATAGAAATAAATATTGACTCAAAAAATGATATTATAATTTTAGTCCGAAAAATAGCTGTTTTTATTTTTATTTTATTTATTTTTTATTTTAAACGAAATAATGTAGTAATTTCCAGAATTTTCACTCACCAGAATCTGTTTGTCGTCGCGTGATCAAATCCCCCAGAAGATCTCTTATTAAAAATGATTTTGAACTCTGCATTGTTACTGATTATTTTATATATCGTCTCCGCTTTCGCTTAGAAATGTGATTGATATATTATTTATTATTTGTGCGAACTGCTTTAGGCCGCCTTTCACATTTTGATTATGATTACACTTGTCACTCCGTTTAACATAAACAAAAATCTTTTGGATATTCGGTTTCCCTTTGTTTTTGATTTAGATTATTTTCAATGGCCAAATAATGTGTGTTATTTTTGCCCGCCGGCGGGCAGGATCTTAGGATTCTACAAGTAATCAAGTTTTCCGGGACGTGGCGCAACGACGGCACCGGAGGCAGAAGTAATGGTAACGGTAACTGTTACTGTAACTGTAACTGAACCGCTAAGCGCCGAGTCAAATGAACAACTGAAATGCGAAACGCCGAACGTTTATTAATCCTTTTAGCGAACATCGTCAGGATACACGCACTCATACACACACCCCCGCCAGCACGCACACACAGACACACACAGTCAGAGAGGCAAGTGAATTACGCGGATTTGTTGCTGTAAACGGGACAGTTTAGCGCTCAGGCTGACGTCGGCAGCGGCAGAGGCAAACAAAAAATACAAGAAATAAGGCTAGAAAAAAAGGAAACTTTCGCAATGGCCGCTGCCATTTAACCGTTATTTAATCAGTCGCCTCACAGACGACGCACACTCATGCCATCCCGCTCGCTCGCCAACTTCCGTCGTCCCGTTAGCCATTTTGTTAAGCAGAGCAGGACACTCGCCCGCTCTGTCTCTCTCTCTTCGCAGGACTTGCCTGCTTGCCATTGGCCGTTACTTTCGTTGGGACCAACAACCCTCGAATTTTGATTTGAGCACGAAAAGTCACCCTTCTCGCAAAGCTTTCGTTGCTTTCGTTACTTGCATCCCAGTCTGTGACAGTCGCGTGACCAAGGAGCTCTGGCTCGGATCAGGATGAGCAAGCAGTGCAGGTACCGTTAGATCGTCAGAGAGGAAACACTGCTTTGCCGCCGGTAAGCGGAAAGCCTCTACGAAGAAAGTTTATCAACAAAATCTAGCTGAGGCGAAATTTAGAATATGTTCAAAACAACTTTTATGTAAGGTCCATCCACTTTTTAATTTGTTCTTCTCAGCTTACATTCCAAATTAAATTTGATGACAAAATAAATTGATTCTTAGGCCATAAGAACCTGGACGTACACGTACGATGTAAAAATTAAAATAGACTTTGGATAATAAGAGTCCGTTTTGCTTACGCGCCAGAGTTGTAACTCGACTATTAACTATTCTTAAGCCATTACTTTAGCATCCTGTGGATGCACACAGGATGCGCACTGGGAATGCACGAGAATGCAGAGGGAACACAGGAGCAGGAACCTCATTTCTGCTCCTCCTCCTCCTCGTTGTTCCTTTGAGACTGATCTATTGCATCGAGGGCAGCTATGGCCGCCCCCACTAGATGGAAGGAGCCGGTGACGAGCACATCCAAGTGTCCGGAGTTCTCTGTTAGTGGAAACTTCTGCCGAATGGCCACAAATGCATCGACCATGTGAGCGAAGGCTTGGCTATTGCACGGTGTATTCTCGTTGCGACACAGGTCATCCCAGTCATTGGCAATGGCCTGAGACCGGCCCAGCTGCCTTTCCTCGCTAACGGATAGAAACACCTGGCTGGCATAGATCGGCTTCGCTGCGGACAGATTGGGGGAGAAGCAGGCCATGTCGAAGGGACATGTGCGACGGAGGACCTTCAGCAGCGGCCGGATATCCGACTGCCCCTTGCGGTTAAATATCAGGATCTTGGGATTCGGACTGCAAGAAAAGGAAAGCAAAAATGAATAAACAAGTAATGGAAAATTAAAGAGAGAAAGTTGGAAACCTCACCTGTCCTTCACGTTCTTGTGAAACCACTCCGCGCACACCTCTATGCTCTCCAGCGTGTGGGCTCCGTCAAAGAATAGACGCATTCCCCGCCATTCGACCTTCTGACATCGACCCGGCCAGTGGGATTTTACCAGGCCATCTAGTAGCTGTTGATCCATCAGCACCTCGTTGGCGATGTGCTTCCTTCCCTTCGCCCGCACCAAATAATCCATGGCCAGCTGGACGGCCAGAGAGCCATTCAGCTTAATCACAGCGCTGAGATCTTCGTACGGCTGGGCGGCGGTTGCCTCCGATTTGAAGTAATCCTCGGTGGGTGGCACCTCAAAGATGGTATCGATGCCATTGTCCTTCGCCCGCTGACGTATCACCTCGAGGCACTCGGGCTGTGTGACATGCGTGAAGACATGCGATCCGGGCTTAATGATGCCCGCCTTCTGCCAGGCAATCTCCTCGAGCGTAGTGCCCAGCAGATCCGTATGCTCCAATGCCAGCGAAGTGATGCCCACAGTGCCTACGTTGCGTACAATATTGGTGCAATCCGATTCACCGCCGATGCCCACCTCAAGCACTGCCACGTCCACTTTCTCCTCCACGAATACGTGAAAGCCCAGTATGGTGACAAACTTGAAATAGGCGGGCATATCATGATCATGCTCCCGCAACTCCCACAGGCGGTTGTAAACCTTCCAGAAGTGTTCCGTGAACTTGGCCTTGTCCAGCGGCTGGCCATTGATGCGGATGCGTTCATTGGTGGCCAGGATGTGCGGCGAGGAGTAGAAGCCTGTTTTGAGGCCCTGATGGCGTAGCAGGGACTCGGTCAAAGCGCAGGTGGAGCCCTATAGAAAGGGAAGGGTCAAACAAGGATTAGAAAGTGGAAAAGAAAACAGCAATTAAATAGTTTTCAAAGGAAGGAAACATAATTTGAATATTATTACTTATGACTCTCTCTCTCTCTCTCTGATTTTATTTTATTTGGTGATTATATTTAGATTGGTAATTATATGTATGCTACAAGGTCACCCCCCGCCATTATCTTAACTCGACTCCAGTCGCGGACAACCTGTTTATCTGTTTATAATGGGAGTTATCTATGGAACGTGCTACTCGAATAGTATAGCCGGCAAATCAAAATAAGCCAAGTATTAAATGTACCTATAAGCCAAAGCTCAATTTACGGCAGAACGTAACGAGAAAGAACCGGAAAGTAAACAATCAGACAGTTTCTAGACTTGAAGATACTCTAGCAATACAGAAATTATGATGGTTTGGGGGATACATATACGATATATGGTGTATACTATAGTTTAAGGAAGTAAACATTTCAGATACTTTGCTTACATAAATATACAATTCTTATATAATTGGTTCTACCAATTATATAAGAATAAAGGTACCTAGAGAGCCAGGAATTTGGAAAACAATTCATAATAAAATTAACATAATAATATTGATAATAATAATAATACAGAAATTATTAGGGTTTAAGAGATATACCGAGGAAGACTGTGGAACTGGATAGGGGTCTTTTATATAAATATAGAAACCAGTGAAGATTAAATGTGTCTAGGAATTGTGTATTTGTTTATGTATTCTTTTGAGGAATTTCTTATCCCATTCCCATTCGATTATCCCCTCAACTCTGCTGGGTATCAATGACCAAAACAGATCCATCAATAAACAAAATACCAATTCAAAAAAAGCTAAACAAATCTTATCAGCCAGCGAGCGAGCGAGCGATTATCGGCCTTGTCAGTGCCGAGAGCCGGCGGAGAGCAGTGACTCTGAGCTATTGCTAGGTGTGCACGAGTGCGTGTGTCTGGTGGCAGCTCAAGTTTGGAGCTGGAAACCCACCAAAGATCTGGTTACAAAGAATTCGTTAACGAGAATAGAGCTCATTTGCTGACTGACCTTGCCCTTGGTGCCGGAAACATGGATGTAGTTCAGCTTCTCCACGGTCTCCAGCGCCAGACCGCTCCGCTCCAGATACTTCACCGTGAACTTTTTGGCGTCCCTCCGGGAAATCACAGAATCCCTGATGGTGTCCTCGTTGGATTGCAGGTAGTTTAGCTGAGCGATGGCTGCCTGCAAATTAAAGTGAAAGATCATATTTGTTATGATTATTTTCCCAAAGCTCTCCCAGAGAGACTCACCTCGAAGGCCGCGTTCACAGCCTTGTTGGTCTCGTCGCTTATTAGCAGGTAGTTTAGCTGCTCGACGGCTTCCTACGAAAGATCAAGCAAAATAATATATTTATGTATATATTTTAAATTACAAAAAAAAAATAAGAAAAACAAAAGCTAGAATGAAAGCAAAATTCTGTATACCCTTGGATCAGGGAATCGTTCCCAACTAAGCCAAAAATGCATTAATTTTAAATCGGAAAGAGGTCCTATGTTAGTTTTTAATCAATTAACAAGTCTGCATACCCAATTTAAGATTTTTAAAATTCAAATTTTTCTCATTTTTTTTTTTTAATTTTAACGATGTAACCCCTTATAAAATTTTCAAATTTTTGAAAAAATTAATTTTTTCCGTAGATAGCTAGAAAGATTCTACTGTTGATGCTGATCAAGAATATATATGATTTATAGGGTCGGAAATGATTCCTTCACAGCGTTTTAAGCTTCTTTTTCAAATTAAAATACCCTGAAAGGGTTACCAGAAATAAAAGCGTTGCAATAATCCGATCTACTGTTACTGTAGTGTAGGAACTCTTAGATAAGAGTAGAGTATACATATTTATAAGTAATAATTTGTATATATTATTTTTCTCCTTTAAGCCGCAACAAAAAATGTTGTATTTAGATATTTTTGCTTTTTAAAAGAAATAACAATGGTATATGTAAGTTTCCATAATAATTTTACAAGTTATTCCCTTTTAATTATTTTAAAACTTGTGACTTTATAAAATGCAAACCAAACTACATTAATTGTGCCTCTGAAAATATGTAGTACTATATATTTTATTTTTCTTTTAATAATTTTTAAGCATTTTAGACACCATTTCGTTGGAGTTTGAATCTGTAACTGTTTCAGTGAATATTTGTATATCTAAAAATTTTATATATTTTTTATAAAGCTCGTCAGCTTATTACTATTTTTATTTAAAACATATTCTAAGTTTTAATTAGAAGCTTAAACCGTATTCACTAGAATAGCTAATGCTACTTATTGAATGTCTTAATTGAAATTCGTATAATGCATAGTTATATCGATAGATATATGTATTTATATCAAAGATATAGTTCAAAAGAAGTGCACAAACTCACCTCGAAGGCTTCACTGCAATCCTTGTCGCATTTTTTGGTCTCGATGGTTCCTTTGCCATCACTGAGGCTCCTTTGCAAATCGGGATTGAAGACCAAGTCGGCCAGGGTGTAGCTGGGCGGGCTCGAGTGTTGCTCCCTGGCGGCACGCAGACGTGCCTCCCTCATGCTCTGGCGGTTGCTCACTGTGCTCCGACGACTGCTGCTCACTGCGCTGAGGGTGCTCGAAAAGCTGGCGGGCAGCAGTCTGGGCACACAGACACGGCACAACTGGCGATTCGCCATACTTATAGAGCGCTTCTCGGCTGGCGCTCTCGATCGTCTGGTCGCACCTCTCGCTGGCGGGGACAGCGGTATCTGTGGGACGAAATGCTGGTAAATACAAACTCTAACAAGGGATTGTATCAGTTAGTCGGCGGTCCGTGTGTGTGGCTAGTAAGGTGTACGCAACGCTCGCGTTTATCATCTCAAAGTATTTCGCAAATGTATTCAAATATTGCGCCAGATAACGGATATCGGATACCGATTGCGATAACTGGATAAGCTTTTGCACATGCACAGCACGATAACGATAATTGGGGGCAAATACGGCAACCCTGCAGTCACACACACACTCGCTGTGTACTTCCAATAAGCAAAACAAAGCAAAATAACAGAACTGCACTTGTTTCCAAGAATATGGGCACTCACTGTGTTGTCACGCTATTGACTTATGTTCTTTAGCCACTTTTCAGTTGTCGTCCCTGTTGAGTATTGAGAAATATTGGGCATTATTTGTTTGGCAATGAACTATGACGTAATCTCACGCACACACGTACGGCCCCAACATAAAACATGTGGACGGCAAAAACATATGTTATTGCTTCAGCGGCGACAGGTTGGCGAATTTCAAGCCAAGTTGTTGTGAAATTTGAAGCGAATGGAAAATAACTGCTTTCCAAACTTTATCTTGCACGTATTAAAGTCCAGCCATTGTTTAACTATTTTGATTGGTTACCCAACGCCTACTAAGGTCGTGTCATTCTCAAGCAAATGTTAAAATGTCAAATACAGACCCGCTTTTGTATTTGACTATTCTTTTGTTGTCGTTGTTGATTATCACTGGCACATTGTGAACAACGTCAGGGAGAGCATCTCTATCAGTCAGCACGCCGAAATAGTTTTGAAATCAAAATTAAAATCCGAATCCGCAAATAATGACTGAAACCGCCAGTAGTTCGAGCAGCACCCCGCGCCTGGGCATGTGCGAGGTGTGTGCCGCCAAGGAGGCCCGCTACGCTTGTCCCAAGTGTGAGGTCAAGACGTGTTGCCTGGACTGCGTCCAGATCCACAAGAAGGAGCTGTCATGCGATGGCCAGCGGGACCGTACCAAATTCGTGCCCCTCAACCAGATGACGTCCACCGATTTCATGAGCGACTATTGCTTCCTGGAGGAGGCCACACGCTACACGGAAGCGCGCAAGTCGGATCGCACCAAGAGCTTCACCCACGACAGCAGCAGCAACAACAAAAACCTCTCGGTGGCACAACACCGACTGCGAACGGCGGCCTACTGGCGTAATGTCCGTCTGGAGCTGCTGCTCCCGAACTTCAGCAAGCACAAAGAGAACACCACGTATTTTGACTGGAAGCAAAGATGCATTTTCTGGCGTGTGGAGTGGCAGTTCGTAAACATTCCGGCGGAGGAGAATGATCAGGGTCAGGCGGAGGCAGTAGCTCGCTTCGTGGATGCCCGTTGCGATGAGCACGAAACCCTGGCGAATTTCGCCCTTAAATATGTAGATCTGCAGCAGGAGACGGCGCGGAATCATCGCAAGCGTTTGGCCCACCACCAAACGGCGGGTATTGGCCAGCTGAGCTTCTGGCTGCAGGCCGAACGCGTTCCATTTAGTGCCACACGTTGCTATGCCCTGGAGGCGTCAAAGCCTTTGGGCAAGAATCTAAGCCGCAAGACCATCATCGAGTTTCCCACCATCTATGTTACCTACGAGCCGAAGCCGCCCTTGGGATTCGAGGCAATTGAATGCGGTACAGCTTAGTCAATCATTTTGATTTGAAATTTCTTTGAAATTAATTTATTTTAACCCAATTAAAGACAACTGGGACCTGGGAGAAGAAGCACCCACATCCTCGCCACCTGCTAAGAAATTCAAGAAAGAACGTCGGTTATATGAAGAGAAAATGGCTTCTAAGGAACGCGGCAAGCGCTTTACTCAGGACAACAGAAGCCCCTCGATGCCATCGCAGAAGCGATTGCGAAAGGCGGCCTTAAGCCGCAAGGTTCGACTTCAGTGGCAGGAGCCAAACTTCAGCAAACACAAGGAGAACACCACTTATTGGGACTGCAAGCTGTCCTGTCTCTTCTGGCGTGTGGAGTGGTATTTTGTCAACATTCCGACTGAGGAGGGGGACAATTTCCAGTTCGAGGCAATGGCCCGCTTCGTTGATGCTCGTTGCGATGAGAATGACAAACTGGCGGATCTCGTCCTCAAGTATGTGGATTTGGAGCATCAGACGGCACAAAATAATCTCAAGCGTTTGAGCCGTCATCAAACCGTGGGCATTGGCCAGCTGAGCTTCTGGCTGCGTGCCGACGGTGTTAACAATAGCGATTTTGTATGCTATGCCCTAAATGCGACCGAGCCGCTGGGCAAGAATATAGCTGGCAAGACCATTATCGAGTTTCCCACCATCTTTATTACCCACGAACCAAAGCCGCCCATGGGATTCAATGTGATAGAATGCGGTACAGCTTAATTACTCATTTTTATGTGAAATTTCCTTGAAATTTATATATTTAAACCCAATTTAAGATAATCTGGAGCTGAAAGAAGAGACATCCGCCTCAGAGGAAGAGACCAAGACTGATGTTTTTCATGGTATGACCACAACCGTTGCCAAAGAGGTTGATGAAGCTGATAAGGATGACGGCCAAGACGACTTTGAGACCGAAGATGAAGACAAAGACGATTTTGAGACCGAAGATGAAGACAAAGACGACGTGGAGACCGAAGATGAAGACAAAGATGACATGGAGCCCGAAAATGAGGACGAAGACGAGGACAAGTCGGAAGATAAAGACAAAGACGACGGTGACTTGGCTCCTGAGGAAAATAACACAGAATAAGGCTCTCCGTAGTCTTTAAGGAGAACATAAGCAATGCTTCTCTCCCACTCTACCCTTTCGGCATACAACCCTTATCCAAATTTAAGAAAAACCACATTTAATATATTAATTTTTACATAAATCATGTATTTTTCCTCATACGCATTTGATTTAGTTTATTTGTTTGTAATTATTTTAGGCTAATTTAATGTTACGAAATCAAACCACGCTTCGACTTGGTTTCGATCTAGTTTCCATCATCATATTATGTTTGTATGCATGTCGTGTATACAATCTATATATATATAAAGAAGTTTTGCGTGGGGAAACCAAGGATACACAAAGTTCTCGGGGTTAATCTTGACTCTACATCTATAGTTTGATTCCGATTAAACCAATTTAGCAATTTTCATTTGTACATAATACATATATGTGTGTGCCAGTTATATTATCATATATCTCTATATATTCCTATATTATTTTACTTTCATTTCGTTCGCATTTCGCTTTTTCGGGTTTGCCTGCACCAGTTTTTTTGTTGTTATTAAAATATAATTTAAAGCATATTGTATATATATAAACAAACAAACAAGTTTCTAACAAATCAACATTTTCAAAATGCATTTTAAGGTTAAAGTAGGAGAGAAGAAAAAAAAACAAAGAAATTAAAATAAAGGGGGAATACACTGAAAAACCATTGAAATTTCTCTAAAAAATACATATTTATAATATTTATATAATTGGAATCATTTTTTACATATTATTCACACCAATCGCTAATTGTAAGGAAGGGAGGCACACAGAGATAGAGAGAGGTGAAGGATACATCGAGATGGGGCGAAATCCTTAAGCCAATTTCGTGTTCTTGCTGAGATAAGATAAATTCTGATCATAATAGTTTTAGATATCTGCTTTTGTTGCTGCTTCGCCCTCCTTACATACATAGTTCACATATAATTTGCTGAACATTCAAAAAAATAATCATAAAAACTATGTAACATACAAAAGAAACATGTATATAATATATAAACAGAAGTGGTGTTGGGGTGGGTGGGAGAGATAATATCAGGGGGTTTATGGGGCTCATTGGGATGCGGGAATTGGGTTCATATAGTTTACATAGAGAAAATTTACATATATATTTAGCTAGTCGTACATAAATCGCTTTCTCGCATCGTTTCTTCATCAATTCATTCACTAAACAGGTTAAGACATCGATCGCACGCACACACACACGCACAATTCGTTAAGGATTTAATTGTTTTTAATTTATTTAAATTAATTTATTAGACACATACGCATACACAGAAAGGACAGAGTGGCAGAAAGAGAGAGTTAAAGGCAGACGACAGACAGAGCTTTGGATGAGTTCCAGAAAAAGTCAGTTTCGGGTGGGGTGAATCTGTCCCCTGTGCTGGATGGGTTTCTTCGATCTCGTTATGATTGTTGGTTGTGTGTCTTTTTGATGAGTGTGTTCAGTGCATTTGTGTGCGTGTGTGTGCGTGCACCAGATGAAAACATTTATACGTAGCTCGAGGATCAATCATCTCCTGCAATGTAGACAAAGAGAAAAAGAGGATTAGAAAGGGCAGAAATTATCACCTAACGTTGCGATATATGTGGGATAAATCTGTGTATAAATCAATATTGGATGGATTACTAGATTAAAGAAAAACAACCAATCAATTAACTTTGTTAAATGCATATCATTTCTATATATTAAACACGTTTTGGGAGTTGAGTTATCCTCTACATATATCCCTAGTTAGTCTCTTCCATCTTCAAAGCTCACTCACTTTTCGTTGGCATTTGTTAAGGCAGCTCTCTCTCTCTTCCTGGTTCTGATCAGGCTTCCATTTTCATTTTCATCTCTTCCTGCTGCTGCTCCTGCTCCTACTGCACTTGCTGCTACTGTTGCTGCTGCCCGGGCGCCGCTCCGGGCACAAAGTAACCGCCTTGAGGCACTGCAGCTGGCGCCATTATCGGTGCCAGCACATTATCGGGTGTCGCCGACATGGGAGCACCCGAGGGATTAAACACATCCACATAGGAGTTCTTCAAAGCTACGAAGATTAAGTGGAGTATAAGCCATTTATTTATCTTCAGTATATGAGACTTTCACTTACTGCGATTACGTTGCATCTTAAACATGTTCGACTGCAGCTTGGGCTGGGGTCCGCCGGGAATGGCAGCAGCGGCAATTGGACTTGGGGCGGGTTGTCCAGCTGCCACGGGTGCTGCTGCAGCTCCTGGTGTTGAGGCAGGTAATGGCATTGTGGGGATCATTTCGGGCGCCGGGGCAGCCGTATAATCAATGGGACTGCCGTACATCATCTGCGGTTGCTGGGTCTGCTGTGGCTGTGGCTGTGGCTGTGCCTGATGCTGTTGCTGTTGCGACTGATCCAGCAACTGATGTTCGGCTTGATGATTGGTAAACATTGGTGGATTGGCATTGGTCATTCCCATGCCACCTGGCGGCATACTGGCCACACCCAAATCGCTCATCTTGGGCGGTGGCTTAAAGCTTTCCGTCTCGTCGACATTGCCCTCGGTGTTTGTCCAGCACTTGCGCTCCTTGTCCCACACAATGGTCGGATTCTTGTCATCCGGAAGGATCATTTGGTTCTTTGGCTTCAGCGACAGCTTGTTCCAGAGACCACCGAACCAGCCAGAGTTCTGATTGCCAGGTGGGGCACTGATTTAAAAGAGAAGAAGTTGTTGTTATTCAGAAGCAGGTCACGGGTAACATTCTACGATTGAAACTCACCCAAGATCGCCGCCAGAGTTGGCGTGCTTGCCGGCGCCCGACGTTGCCTGCTGCTGTTTACTGCCAGCAGCATCGAAGGAGCCTCCACCTCTGAGCGAGGCCTTCGGGCCGCTATCATCCTCGTCCTCGTAGCTCTTCGACTTGGGCATGGAGATGGCCGGACGACCCTGCTGCGGCTGCTGGAGCTGTTGTTGTCAACATTGTGGTTGTGGAGAAATAGCATTGGATTAGTCTTGGGCGATGACAAATCGTTTCGGGATTAGGCATAAGTCATGGTTAGTAACAGAGAACAGAGAGTGGTTAGGCGTAAGTAAAACCGAACGAACGAAGGAACAACAAATGAACTGGCGCAGTCAAAGGAACTCTTCTCGGGCTCACTTAGTTCGAGATTACAGCTAACAGATTGCTTAGAAGGGTCTTAAGACTAGTTTATGAGCTAACAGCTAACGGACCAGCCGGGTCCCAGGTACAGAAGGCTGCCACTTGCACTTGCTCCACCTCATTTCATCCTATCTCATCTCATTTCAAATCTCTGTCTAGGCTTTTCTTTACAATTTCTTCTTAGATCTAAGAGCCAGGCCAGCGTCTGCAATGGTGGTGGTGGTGCCGCTGCTCCTGCTGCTGGTGGGTGCATCAATATCGTAGGTGCGCACCTCCCTCTTCTTGCTCTGCTTGCTGTCCAGATAGCTCTCGAACCTGCTCAGGCTCTGCTCCACTTCGGTGCACATTTTCTTGTAGTTGAGCGGTATGGCGGGATTGGCTATCAGCTCCTCCATAGACCACACATGCTGCGGCTGGGCAGCGCCGGCTCCTGCCGCCGACTCTTTGCTTGGTATAATGCCATACTTGTTGAGCAAGCTATGCGTGTAGTAGTCACCGTCATCGTAGCTCTCATCATCCTCACCGTCGCCATAGGGGAATAGCTCGTCGTCATCCAAGTCCTCCTCGTCCTCTTCTATGGCCTGCTCCTCCCCTCGGCATCCTCATCTATCACATAGTCGTGCAGCATGTAGCTTCGATAGCGCTGCAGGTCGCTGCGATCGGCATTGGCCTCGGGATCATAGGAACTGCTGCTCTTCAACTGACTTTGGCCTTGGGCCAGCGGCATATCAATGGGATAGGTGCCGTTGAAGACGATGTGCGGCTTCCGTGCGCCGAAATTCAAGCAAGGCTTGGCCTGGGCCACCGCCAGGGTACTGCTCTTGTGCTCCTCATCCTTCTCATGCTGCTTCAGGGCGCAGTGTTCCTGGTCCTGGTCAAATTCTTGATCCGATTCAGCAATAGTCGTTGGCAGCTTAAAGTTGACACGCTTTGGGCCGCCGCTGGCGGAGGATGATCCTGGTCTTGTTGGTGGCGTCAGCGATGTTGTTGTGGTTGTGATGACCGTGCTCGTGCCTGCTGTGGAAGTGGCTGCTTTGGCGTTTATAAAACGCGTGGGCGTGGTTAGCGTTTTGGGCGTGGCTAAGTAGGGACTACATTGGCGATTAGGCTTTCTAGGATTAGGAATTGCTGCTGAGACTGAGGCTGTTGCTGCTGCCGCTGTTGAGTTGCTGTTGCTGCTGCTGCTGCTGCTGGTAGCTTGATGTCGTTTATTTATGGTGGAATAGCTACTTACGTCATTCAAATTGAATGCCTTTGTCGAGGACGATGATGCTGCCACTGTTGCTGGCGTAATTTGGGCAATTGCTGCTGCTGCCGCTGCTATCGAAGGTGTGGCCGAAGGTCCTGCTGTTGGCTTTTTGCGCAAGGAATTGGCACTGATCTCCTGCTTCAAGGCATTCGACTTGAAGCGATTGCTGCCATTGCTAAGCGTATGCTGCTCCACCAGCTTCTGCTGATGCTTGGTCAGCACATGCTGAGGCTGAGGCTGAGGTTCATCTTCATCCTCATCCTCCTCCTCGGTCAACGCTGCTTGATTATCATTCGGCTGCATTCCATATGGATTATAGGACATGGTGTGTTTATTGTGACAAGAAACTTGTTAGGATGCTTGGTGGGATGCCAGGCTTAAACAGGATACACAACTCAAAATATAAGATAAGAGACACTATTCATAGCGAGGAACTTAAGACGAACCAAAGAGCACACGAAGAACAAATACAAAAAAAACGAGAAGGGGAAAAAAAGCTAAAAGGCAACTCCCTAAAATACAAAGATAAAAGCCTGCTTATGAAATAATAATGATTTTTAGAGAGGAAAGGTGCCACAGGAAGGTGCTGAAACTGAAGCTGAACTTGAACCTACCTCATCGCCGTATGGTGGCTGCTGTGTGCCGGACCAGTAATCAAAGCCATAGGCAGGAACAGCTGCAGGTGCAGCCTCCGATGCCTGTCCCTGGTACGCCTCAGTGGCTGTGTCTATTTGGCCATAATTGGAGGTCAGCAGTTGCTGGTCGTACGGCTGCTGGGCTGTCGCATTGGGATCGTAGTAAAGCGGAGGTTGCTGCTGCTGCTGCTGCTGTTGTTGACCATAGACTTCAGTCTCCGGTTGGGCTTGTGGTGGGGCTGGCTCATAGTATTGCTGCTGCTGCTGCGGTACCGCCGGCGGCTGCTGCTGATGTTGCTCCGGCAGGGGCTGTGCCTCAGCCGGCGGCGGAGACTGCTGCAGCGTGTTGTCGTTGCGATATTGCATATTCAGTTCCCTGAACTGCTTGTTCACCTCTGCAAATTGCTGATAAATTTCTTCCTGCTGTTGCTGCTGCTCCTGTTGCTCTTGCTGTTGCTGCTGCTGCTGCTGCTGCTGGAGCTGCTCATGTTGGGGCTGCTGCAACAATGCATCTACATTAGCTAGCTCTTGGGGCTTATAAACTTGGGTTAAAAACTCACCACATCGGCCAATGAGCGCAGCTGGCGGAGCCAAGCCTTCTCTTCTGGAGCGGCAGCATCCTTGCTGCTGGCATTCGGGGGACTCGCGAAGGAGACGCGGTTGATAAGAATGGGATCGTGGTAGCGTAGACGTTCGGCCAGGCCGCAGACCTATTAGAAGAAAAGGAAATTAGACAGTTAGAAAGCTTCATCTTATCATCTCATTTGCACTTGCTTACCCGCTGGATAAAGTCACTGTCGTAGCTCTCAGGCTTGAGCTCAATGTGTCGTGCGATCTGCTCTAGATAGTTAGTGCAGCGGAAGTGCTGGCCATAGTCTAGGATGCGCGTGGCCAGCAGGAACTTGTAGTGCTGGAAGTTAGCAATGCTGAACTTGGGATCGAACAGGGAGCGGGCGTACTCGTAGATCTCCGTCATGATGATGGCCTCGTTGCTGGCGAACTCGTTGAAGGGCTTGTAATGCGACGCACCCAGCAGGATCAGACGGGGCACGTTGGCCGTTAGCGTGGTTAGCTCCGTGGCGGAGCTATCGTAGCGCCCGAATTCCTCCTGGGCCACCAGATAGCAAAAGTGGGCCGCATAGATATCACCGCGCTGGAACAGTGTGTCGCCCAGGGCCACCACCGAGCTGCGATCGTACTCCGGCTGGCGGCTCTTGTTTGTGACCAGAATGGACAGATGTGAACGCCAGTCGCCCCACTGCTCATCCCTCAGCTGGCTGACGCAGGCCGGTGTGCGGCAGCTCTTCATTTGGTAGAGCGTCTGCAGGGGATCGTTCGCCTTGATGGCTCGATTGAGGAACTTCTGGGCCACATCGGTCAGGGCATACCGATCCTCGTAGAGGGCCAAGAAGAAGGCATGCGTCCACAGGCCGTTGTCGGTGGCCCATTGGAGGGCCTCCTCGACATTGCCGCGCAGCACATAGCTGCGGAACTTGTCCGTGGCCGCCTGTTCTGACAGCGGCGACGTGGTCAGACCTGCTGCTGCTGCTGCTGCTTCGCCCACCGTCGCATTGGCACCGATTGTAGCTGCACCGGCTGTGGGCTCTGGTACAGCACCAGCTCCTCCCACCGCCTCACTGTCCGCCTCAGAGTCATCCAGTGGCTTCTCCGCTTGACCTTGAGCCTGGCCATCTTGCTGCTGCTGCAGCTGCTGTTCATCCGCATCTGGCTCACCCACCGCCTCGTATTCACTCGGATCGTAGGGATACTCCTGCTGGTTGTCCAGCAACAGGTCACCCACATCTGTGTCGGCAATATACTGCAAAAAAGGGGAAACGTTAGGACTGTCGTAGGAACACATTTCCAGGATCTAATTACCCCGTTCTGGCGCAGCAGCAAGATGAGCAGATGCCACATGAGGGCATGGGAGGCCCGATACTTGTTCACGCTGCCCTGCGGCTTCTTTTGCGTGGCATACAGCATGGTGCAACCGCGCGTGGGTCCCAGGCGTATCTGCTCCTTGCAGAAGCTAATGATCTTGTCCTTGTGCAGCTTGCGGCCCTGCAACGGACCCGGATACATCCGGAACAGACTGCTCGTACCGTCGCGAATGCGAAGCGGCGCCACCTCCACATCGTTGCGAATGCGTCCCCGGCCGGCGTACTTGGGCTTCACCTTCAGGAGCAGACTCATCGCATACGAGGCCACCAGATGCGGCCGGTTAAATAGGAGGGGAGTGCGCCGCCTGGGCGGACGGGCCACTACAGCGGTGGTGGTCACACCTCCATATGTGGTCGATGGTGCTGCTCCGGCTGCTTCACCAGGAGTGGCAGCAGCTCTGCGATCACAAGTGGCGAGAATATACAACATTGATTAATCAGTATTTATTTATACATAGAGAATGGAATTATTTATATTTATATAGCAGGGTAAATTATACAATTTATCATGCAAAATCGAAAAATAGGATTAGGATCTGAGAAGGAATTGGGGTAGCTCAGGTTGTTAGGAGTTCAGGAGATCAGGAGTTTGGGAGTTCTGGAGATCAGGGGAAAACTGGAATTCCGGGGAGAGAAGAACCCATCAGAGATCAGCGAAAGTCAACTTTAACAGTTCCTCCTCCGGCTGCATGCGACTTTAAACTCCGTTTTTAGTTACAATTTAAAAATAGATAATAAATATTTACTTCTTTAGGTATTTTTCCCTATTTGTAAGACACAAAAAGTAAAATTTTTTGATAAAAACTTGTAACTTCCACTTTGAATTCATGAAGAGCTGTTTTTAATTATTGATAACTTTCCAATCATATATCAGATCTTAAAGTTCAGTCTGAGGACAATACTGGTATTATACCCTAATTTCAGTCAGAAGATTGAAACTTTGTGAAGGAGTCATTTCCGACCCTATAAATCATATATATTGTTGATCAGGATCAACAGGGGAATCGATCTAGCTATCTCCAAGAGAACAAAAATGTTCAATAATTTTTATTAAAAAAAAGGAAAGGGGTTACATCGTAAAAATGTTCAAAAATTCCAATTTAACATTTTAAATAGAGTATGCAGATTTATTAACCTTATAAAAACTAGCATAGGACCGCTTTCCGAATTAAAATTAATGATTTTTTGGCTAAGCTATGATATTTGAAAATTTTGATATTCCCAAAAAATGGATCATACAGAAATATCGATTTAAAGGATATACAAACTTCGACTTTCCGAAGTAGCTTCCTTTCTTGTCGAGGTAATAACTTTTAGAATAAAATGTCGTTTAAATGAGTCCTAACAATTTACATTCAGTAAATGATTTTTAATTTATGTTAGCCCCATAATTTATAAATTCTTAAAAGTAACCATCCGAAAGACAGACAGAAAGAGATAGACAGAGAAACGAAACGAAGGAGACTTTTCCCAAAAGCGGCAGACCATGGAGTACGACAGAGACAGAGGGAGATCGTGTGAGTGGGTGAGATGTTTCGAATTTGGTTTTTGGTTTTTATGGCAGCGCAAAGCTTCGCAAAGCGAGGGAGCGAGATAGCTTGACAGTAAGCGAGGGAGATAGAGAGTGGGTTTATTTTGTTTTGTATAAACTTTTCTTTTTTGATTTTGTATTGTAACTCTTTATTCTTCATTGGGAAATCCTTGCAGAATCTGCTTTTCTATCTGTTTTGATATAAATGGTATCGTAATGCCCTATTCCATATCACTGTGATCTCAACAAATAGAACTAAAATTAAGTTCTATACAGGACTTTTCTTTAAACATATTCAGAGATTATTTTTCCCATTTGTTGTATTATTTTTAGTTGTATTTGAATATATTCAGAAATATTGAACAAAGAAATGGGACTAAAATTAAGACTTGTCTTTGAATTTATGCACATTTTGAATATTTAGATATATATATATATTATATATATATATATATATATTATATTATATGATATATTTAGAGATTATTTTTCTCCATTAAGTTCCAGAGGAGTATGCAAATGAGATGCTGTGCTCACTAATGGACAGGATTTGGATTATAGGAAATGTGTAGTGTATTGTATGATTTCGTATATGAGAGAGCTACAAGGATATTCCAATCTTCGGTTGCCGAAGTAAGCCTTTCTTCTGTCTTGGTTTTTGTTTTTGTTTTTGACCACCTGATATCGAGACCGCACTCGGAACCAGCATAATATGGTCCGCAGCGGGAATTGCGTCCATCTCCATTCAAATTACTCAGCGATCGTGCACTGGACAGATAGGATGGATATTGGCCATATATCGATGATGCTCCTCCATAGAAACTGGCATTATCCTCGTTCAAACTGCTGTTGAGGACGATGTCCTGATGCTGATGTTGATCTTGCTGCTGCTGTTGTTGTTGTTGTTGCTGGTAGATCAGCTCTTTGTAATGTTGACGACGATGGAATTCATTGGCTTGGGTTATGTATGCGTGTGTATACCTGTATATAAAGGTGGGAAGTTTTTTTTTGGGCAAAGCACAATTGTTGTTGTTGTGGTTGTTCGTGTTTGTTGGTTGGTTGTGCATTTGGTTGTTGTTGTTGTTGGTTAGAGACGAAAACAGTTTTGAGGTTATTTACGAATTCGCATTAGTTGTTGCTCTGAGTTTGTTTTTCTAATTAGTAAAAACGTACACAATGAACGGCACTTTTGGAGAGGGGGAGCGGAAGGTAAGGGGTAACACAGTGGAAGTGGGAACGGAGCATTGGATCTAATTGGAACAATTTGTATGTGGCCACAACGAAGGGGTTAAGAGAAAGCTGTCAGAGAGCGCTGGGAGGGATAGCAAGAGAGTGAAGGTAAAAAGAGACACCGCGGATCTAATCACTAACTACAATTTAGTTTAGCAATCTAGTTTACTGATAAGATTAAAGCCCAAGTCCAACCTCAACATTAGGGACGGGGGGAGTCACGTTAAACAAACTAAATGTTAATAAATCGCAACCAATGGAAGGTTGCGATCAACGAGCAGAGAGAGCCAAGGGAGCAGAGAGCGGCAAAGAGAGACAGCAAGACGAGGGGAGATCAAAGAGTTAGGAGAGATGGGACTAAAAGGGTTAAAGGTGTCAGAAAGAGGTGGGTTGGTAACGGGTTAAACAAAACTTCCCATTGAATATTAAACAATAATAAAAAACATACAGTTTCGGAACAACCGAAAAATCAAGTTCCTGAAACTTGCCAAGGTTTTTTTTAAGGTTTTAGGTAAAACCGAAACCACACGAGTTAGAGCAAGATAGTACTACCATAAGGGTTAAATAGGATTTTATTTGTTGGTTGTTTAGGGATTATTTGAATTATTTAGAATTATTTTGTATATTATTTTTACAATCTATTATTTGGTAATTGAATAAGAATAACTTTATAATTTAAAATATCTTAACAAAATTACATATGTAAATATCTTCAGAATATGGAGTGTATTATCTGTAAATGCTAAAAAAGATCTATTCAAATATGGGACACTGTACTATATTTAAAATTTCGATATATTGAGCTTGACGTTATTTTCTATATTATATTGAGTGCAATATTGCAAACGTGACGTTATTTTCTATATAATATTCATCGTGATTTGTCACATCAAAATTTTCCTATCAAAAAACATCCCTAGTTTCAACTATGTTAATCTGGAAAGCCTGAAATCCCCTCAAATCAAACTCCTGCAAGTTTTCAGGACCTTTTACTCCTAATTTCGTAAACGGTAACGGCAAGCAAAACTTTCAACAAAATAAGAAAGTAAAGTTACTAAGAGTAAACTTACCTTTCGCGCTCTCTGAGCAAAGCTGCTTCACTGCCTCCGCTTACACTTCCCGCCACCAGTTGGGTGGCTGCCGCAGCTGGCACTGCGCCAGGGACCAAGGCTCCCAGCATTGCTCCCACTCCACCAGCACCGGGAACAGCGGTGGCATTGGCATTGACTGCCGCCGTCATCGAGTTGATCATCTGGCCATAGAACTTGGCATACATGTCGGCATAGGCATGTGGATTGCGCGACATCTGCTCGTACATGCCATACGGATCGTAGGCGCCGGACACGCCGGCATACTGGTCATATTGGTTGCGACGCTTGCTCGAACCGGAACCACCGGCTGTGGCACTGCCTCCTCCGCCGCCGCCGTTAATGCGCTCCTTCTCGAGGTCACTGTTCCGCGAGCTCTTCCGGCGGTATTCCTCGTAGCCATCCCAGTTGCGCATATCATTGTGACGCGAACGTCGGGAATCATCGAGGCGGCCGCTGCCGCGTCCCTGGTTGTCGTAGCTTCTGCGGCCACCGCCGCCGGAACGAGACTTCTCCGCCGAATGTTGCTTTGCGGAACGGCGAGAGGAGTAGTGACGATCAGGTTGCCGTTCATAGTCATCGTAGTCATCCTCAGGGGCACTGCGCCGCTGTCGACCGGTTTTGCTGCTACGGCCGCCACTACCCGGTGCACTGACGCCGCTGGCTTCCAGCTCGCCCTCGCCCAGATGATTCATCTCGGGGTTATCCGATTCGCCGTCATAGTTGCTGTTGTTGTAGCCGCGCCGCGGGTGATCGTAGGAACGCTGTTCCTGATCCTCTCCGCCGCTGAAATACTTGTTCGATCTTCGTCGCCAGTTGCGTTCGCGGTCCCGTTCCCAATCACGGTCCCTCTCGCGCTCCCTTTCACGTTCCACCTCCGGTTCGGGGTGGCGCCGGGAGCGCGTGGACTCGTGGTTGCTGCGCCTGTGATGGCTATCCCTCAGCGCCTTGCCCTCGCTGTGGGGAGCACCGCGCACCGAGTCCTCCGTTTCGCCATCGTAGGTGTAGTGGCTGCCTCGTCCACCACGACCACGAGGTCTCTCGTCAATGGGATCACGGCGTTCGCGTGCATGTTCCCGATCCCGCTCCCTTTCGCTTGCCAAAAACTCGTCCGACTCGTCCTCGGACTCCAGGTCTAGCGAGGTGGCATTGCCACGACGTCCGGCTACCGCACGCTTCTCCAGCTGAGGCTGTTGTTGCTGCTGCTGTTGCTGCAGAGACGGCTGCTGGGATTGCTGCTGTTGGTCGCTTAGCGCCTGCTGCGGGTTGTGATGCATTTGCTCCGACTCATCGGCGGGCAGTACGTGATGTAATTGTGGCAGCTCAGCCGTAGGCGGCGGCGATACAGCTTCTCGATCCTCCAGATTCTCGCCATCCAGCACCACTTCGCGCTGTTCGCGCACAGAAAGCGGCGCTACAGGAGCGACACTAGTCTCCACGCCCGTGACTACACGACGCGGTGGTGTCTGCAAATTGCGCACCTGCTGCTCCCCATCCGAGGTATCCTCACCGTCGGCTTGCCGCTCCTCCAAATGCTGCAGGGCCGCCGCTTGGGCCACATTAAGCGAGGACTGCTCAGTTCCTCCGGTTACCAGACGCTGCTGCTGGAAGTCCAATTCCGGCTGACCGAGTACCAGACGGGACAGACCCGGTGGCGGCAGGAGGCCAGCATCCTGATCCGCTTCACCCTCACCCAGCTGCTCGGACAGATGGCTCGTTTGCAGGTACTGTGCACGTTCGTCGTTCGGAGCAGAGAGCACCTCCTGGTTGTCTGGCTGTTCCAACAGCAGTGGCGGTGCATAGAGCGATGCCACAGGAGCGGGAACAGGAGCAGGAGCTGGAACCGGAGCAGGAATAACTGCCGGTATGGGTGCCGGCAGAGGGGCTCCAATAGAAGCAGCTACTGGCAGTGCGGCCAGTATACTGAAAGGTTCTCCCTGTGCCTCTGCAGGTAGCCCAAAAAGCTGCTCTGCTGGTGCTGGTGCCACTGACGGGACCATTGGTGCTACTGCTGGAGCCACTGGAGCAAGTGCTGGCGACGAGGATGCGCCTCCTTCCCCCGGTGTGGCCAGTATGTTAACGCGCTTGCTTAGCCCCGTTGACCGCTTGAAGGGATTACCGGCAGCTGGGGCCATGTTAGGAGGCATTGCCGTTGCCGGTGCAATGCTAGGAGGCAGTGCTGCGGGAGGCGCCAGTGCTGGTGGGGGTGCCGCTACTATTGGCAGGGCGGTTGGCGGTGGAGCAGCTGCTGGTTGATTCTGGAAAGCTTGTGGCGGCACAATGGCATCCAGCTCTGGCTCCTGACCCAGCTCCGGTGGCGGTGGAACAGGCTGCTGCTGCTGTGGCAGCAAAGAAATAGGAGCAGGAGGCTGCAGAGGCAGAGACTCCACATTGTTATTGGCAAAAGCCTGCCAACTGCCTGGCGAGGATTGGACATTGAAGGAGTCCTCCAGCAGCTTTTCCTGTGACTTCTCCATTACGGCCTCGTTGCCGTTGCTGCTGGCGTTATTGTTATCATTCCAATCATCCCAATCTCCCCAGCCATCGTTTCGACTGCTAACGCTGTTGCCTCCTCCACCGCTATTGTTGTTATCAAATGAATCAAGAGCGGTTTCCGCTGGGGCCTGAGCCAGCTGGTGCTGATGCGTGGGATAATACAGTTGCTGCTGCTGTTGCTGTTGCGGCGGAGGCAGTGGCTGCTGCTGCTGCTGCTGTTGCGGCGGGGGCAGTGGCTGCTGCTGCTGTCCCACAAAGTAATTGTTGTAGTTCAGCGACTGCGGCTGCTGCTGCTGCTGCTGTTCCTCCTGCGGCCAGTAGCTCGTCGTTGGCGGCTGCTGTTGCTGCTGAAACATTTGGCTAGCATAGAGCTGTTGCTGCTGCTGTTGCTGTGGATGCTGGACAGGAAGCGGTTGCTGCTGCTGCTGTTGGAGGAGAGGAGGATGTGGTTGCTGCGGATGCTGCTGCTGTTGCGGAGGCTGCTGCTGATGCGGTGGCAGCCAGGGCGCGTTGTTGTGCAACATGTTGGAGCTGCATTAAAGGAAACACATTGCATATTAATATAAAATATATAACATTTGACAGAGAGCTAGCAGAGAAAGCCTGCCTTGGGATGGGGTTAAGGCAAAAATAATGACCAGTTGACATATTTTCAAACATTATTACATTATTAAATAATAATGTAGTGATGAAGTAGATTCTTGTGAAGTCTCTTCAAGTATGTTCTGCATTAACTGCAGTTCTTTCCCATATTATTTCACAAACTTTTGGACAAATTTCGTTGATTGTCAGGCACTTTAGCTATATTGTTTTTCCAGCGAAGATTTTACACAGATTTATCTTATCTACAGCAGGAAAGTTTTAGTATGATCTTTGGATAGATTACATATATCTTTGTATATGTACATTTGTATATAATTTCTGACAGTTTTTCCCAACTAAACTTGAACAGGACATTTAGAAAGGTGGCCTCAAAAGGAGGTTTCTTTGGCAAAGAGCGGGTGGTGGTGGTGGTGGTTTTGCTGGACTTGTGAAGCGGTTCAATGAACGAAACCAGTTTTCTTGGAAAATGACCCGTTTTCCGCGACATTTTGCGAAAGGGGAAAAAAATAAAAACAAATCGCTGTGCTGGCGGCCATTGGACGCAGTACCGAAAACAATATATGCATATATATATATGTACATATATATGTAAAAAGCGAAAAGCAAAAGTTAAAAGTTTACGTGGACGTTTGCCTTATATACCCCCCTCTCTTTCACTCGTGCTGCTTCTTCCTCTTGTTCGTTTTGTTACCACCGTTTCGCTCTCTTACTGTTGTTGTTGTTGTTCTCTTGACGTAGCAGGTTTTTTTTTCTTCTGCTGTTTCGTTTGTGGTGTCTCTTCTTCGCTCACTAATAATTCGTTTTACCGTCGTTTTGGGAGTTTATACTGCTCATTGGCGTATTATTTATTTATTTATTTATTTCCTTCCATCCTCACCAGTAAGTCAAAGTGAAAACACTCTCGGGGAAAAAAATTTGGAGCAGTGGCTGAGAGCGATAGACAGAGGGAGCGAAAGGGATAGACAGAGCGAAGAAGAGGAAGAGCACAGTGTTGCAATCCGGTGTACCCCTCTACCATCGGGCTAAAGTTGACCACAATTGTTTTTACTGACAAGAAAGGAGCACTTTAGCAGTTGTCTTTGTCAATTTTCTTTAAAAATAAATATTAAATGCGGCCAATTAGAGAGCCGCTCTGCATAAACACACACACGCACTGGCACGCACACACACACACACACAGGCAGGCGGGCAGGTTTCCCTTCCCTTCTTTCAGTTTCCAATTGGACTTACACAAATCGTTCGCTTATTTACACGCACACAGGTTCGTCTGGCAGTTGACTAAACAATACATCTACTTGTTTAAGACGTCGTTATTAAACAATTAACTACGGAATTTCTTTTTCTCGTTCAGTAAATCCCAAATGCCAACTCAATGGGCTAGGGGTGAGACAAAATGTACGAGAAAATCGATACATCGATAGTATGGTGGTATTTTTACTATTGATACATCGATAATATAGTGGTATTTTTACTATCGATACATCGATAATATGGTGGTATTTTTACTATCGATACATCGATAATATTGTGGTATTTTTACTATCGATACATCGATAATATTGTGGTATTTTTACTATCGATACATCGATAGTATGCTGGTATTTTACTATCGATACATCGATAGTGCTAAAATTAAATACCAAATAGTTCCACTAAATACCATTTATATATATTTAAATTAACAAAGTACTTCAAGAGCTTTTTAATTGTTTTATTGCTCACAAATTGCCCCTTGTTTCTATACTTAATGAATTCATACGAAATTCTAAATAGTCTGACGGTTCTATAGCAAATTTTCTGTCGGATTAGCCCATAAATATTAAAAGAAACATGTGTATAAAATTAAAGATTTATTTTAGAAATGAAATTCTTTTAATTTATAAATTTGAAACTTAAGAGGTTATAAAGATGTTTCCTAAACAATATTTAAACAGATATGTATTTGCAGGTGTTATTATATTATATTTTTTGGTTACAAAATTATAAATTTCGTAGCCTGTTCGTGCAAATTACAAATTCTAATTAGTTAGACTATATAAAAAACATTTAGTTTTTCTTATCCACGTTTTTTAGATACTTCTCGAGTTGATTCTTAATGCCGTCATTGACAAACCCTGGGTGGGAAATGACCTCGCGCAATGCCAATTGGGCTGCCTTTATGTTGTACTTGGTCTTTAACGGCTCGTCAGACACCTTCTGGTTCAGTTCCATTAAGAAGATGTTGACCACAATGGCCTGTTGGTTAGTTATCTCTGCGTATTTAAAAAGAGTTTTTAACAACGAGACGACCGCTTCCAGAGCATCCTTCGAATTTTCGGCGAATTTTGAACACAGCAAAGTGCCTGTGATAAGCAGCTGCAAACGTTCGCAACACATAGGACCCTAAAATATATGATCAAAACATTTAAATGTCGCTACTACCCCAAGTTTACATACAATATTTTCCTCCGTGATATCATTGTCTGAAAGCTCCATGGATGGGACATTTTCCACGCTCTTGGAATTCTTTTCCTGATCAATTTTCTTTAGATACCACTTGATTATTTCCTTGATGTCGTCATTGGCAAACTCCGGGCGGCAAATGGCCTGGCGCAATGCATACTGTCCTGCCTCAATGTTGTACTTGTTCTGACGAGACACGCCGGTTATTCTCTGATGCATTTCCGTGAGGAGGCAGTTAACCACACTGGCATTTTGGTTGGATATCTCGGCGTAGTGAACCGTATTTTGTAACATGGAGATGGTCATTTCCAAAGCTTCATCCGATTCCATGCACAGATTAGCCCACTTCAGGCTTTCCATGATAAGCTGCTGCAATAGTTCACGGCTTCCTGTAACCTAAAACATATGATTAAAGATTTTGCATGTCGCTATTATACCAAAATTAGTTACACCGTAATCTTCTTCCCCGGAATCCTCGCCGGAGCGGTTCTCGTCATCCGATTTATCGGAGGAATCTACCGGGTTTGAGCCATTAGAATTGAATGTTATAATCGAGGATTTTCTGTCCTGAGAGACGAAATTGATTATCTGTTCGGGTTTAAAGCAGTTGTCAGCCAAATTGACAATGCGTAGATTGGGTTTCTTCTTCATGGCATCCACCAAGGCCCGACCGCCAGCGACGTATATTTGGTTACTGGAAAAGTTGGTTATTTCCACTAAATCAACTGAATTGTCCAAGGCTTTGGCAATGAGGAGGGCGCCAATAGTGGACAAACGACAATTGCCCATTTCGAGTTCTCGGAGCTGGGCAAGGCATGGTAGGATTTCGGCTATTTCAGCGGTACCTTGGCTCCTTAGGCAGTTGTCATTCAAGTTTAACCGTCGAAGGTTCGGGTTCTTCGTGAAGGATTTAGCCAGGGCTTTCACGCCACGGAACGAGATCGAGTTATTCTCCAATGAAATCCCTTCGAGGGTCTGCAGCAATTTAAATGCTTTGGCCAGTGCCTTAGCGCCCACATTGTTGAATCTATTGGCTCCGCCGTCGAAGTGCTTGAGCTTGAACTCCTTGGCCTTGCCATGCAGATTGATAAAGGAGTTAGATAAGATGATTGCTCCCTCGGGACCGAGTTTACATTTGCGCAGGTGCAACTCCTGCAAGGAGTAGCAGACGGGTGAGTTGAGCATGTGGACCAGACCGCCCAAGCCCTTCGGTCCCAGGGCATTATTGCTGAGATCGAGATAAGTCAGGTTGGCACCTGCGTCTTTTAGACCTAGGCCTAGATATATCAGCATGTTTGGTATCTTCTTTGCAAGGTCAGGACCGAAAAGATCCTGCCACTGGGCTTTGCGCAGCTCCGGGTGGTACCGCAGCGCTCTGCCAATGGCCTTGGCCGCCTTCACGCCCAGTCTATTGCCACCCAAGTTGAGGAAATGCACAGTTTCCTGGCGTTTGATCAAGTCCGCCACAGTCTGTACATCTTCAGCCGTGTCCCAGGAGAAGAATTTGTTCTCGAATGAGATGCCCTTCTCTGCGTCAATCTGGGTTGCCTTTTCAACAAATCTGGGGCGTGCCACCATTATCTTAGGACTTAAAAAAAAGAGAAGACAGGGTTTCAAGAAGGGCAAGCAAGTCGCAGAAAATAGTAACGTAAGTTGTCCGCGCATCGCCAATTCAAAGTCTTAATTCTAACAAATATGTGTGTTCTTGGACAAGGAAAGCTAAGTCTAGTTCGTGCGCCTTCGCGTTTTAAAGTTTTCTTCTTACTTACCTTTGCATAATTGCTAAAACTTTTACTGCACAAAAGAAATAATATCAACTCGGTGAAAAACTTGAAATTGAAGTGAACAAAGTTAAATGACAGCGGTAAAATGTCAACTTAGCGATGGCAAAAGTATGAATATATCGATATATTTCGATACACCACATTTACAAAGCTATACTGATTTACAATATTTTCAAATATTAAACAAGATTGAACCGTATGATATGAAATGTATATCATAAATCAGATTTTAACAAAGAAAACAAATTGTAAATCTGGCTGCACGCAGAGTTGGGCTTTTTCGCCGCACCTCCGGTCACACTAATTAGCGGCGAATTGGCAAAAGGAGAGAGCAACAAAAAAAAGACAAAAGATAAAACAAGATAAAAGAGATTAAGGAAAAGCATTGAACCTGGCAAGATGCGAAAATTGAGCAGCTTCCTGTGCGGCACGGGCGCCGGCCTGGCGGCCTTTTATCTGCAGCGGCTGCGTGATCCCCAGAATGCGGCGCACACCTCCTGGACGTCCAGCCAGAAGCCGGTGGACGCCTGTGCGCTGTGGGACAGCAACTGGGACTGCCGCGAGCCGCAGTCCCTGGTGCGTCCGCTGCGCAACAGTCTGCCGGATGAGGAGAATCGCTACAACACGGATCTGGAGAAGGCCAAGGCCAAGAAGGCGCGCCACATTATCCTCGTGCGGCATGGCGAGTACCTGGACGCCGGGGACTCGGATGAAACGCACCATTTGACCGAACGCGGTCGCAAGCAGGCAGCGTTCACCGGCCGGCGCCTCTGCGAGCTGGGCATCAAGTGGGACAAGGTGGTGGCCTCGACAATGGTCCGGGCCAGGAGACGTCCGATATTATACTCAAGGAGATCCAGTTCGATAAGGAGAAGGTGGTGAACTGCGCCTTTCTGCGCGAGGGGGCGCCTATACCGCCGCAGCCGCCGGTTGGCCACTGGAAGCCAGAGGCGTCGGTAAGCAGAGGCTTCAATCTGTGCCTATGATTGTACCTGACCTACTCTCTGGTTCTGACTCTGATCCTTCGGTTTCCCTGCAGCAGTTTTTGCGCGACGGCACCCGTATCGAGGCCGCCTTCCGGCGTTACTTCCATCGCGCCTATCCCGACCAGGACAAGGAGACCTACACCCTGATCGTGGGCCATGGCAACGTGATTCGGTACTTTGTCTGTCGCGCCCTGCAGTTCCCGGCGGAGGGCTGGCTGCGCATCAACATCAATCACGCGTCCATCACCTGGCTAACGATCGGTGCCTCCGGCAATGTGTCCATTAAGTACCTGGGCGACTCGGGCTTCATGCCCGCCAACTTGCTCACCAATCGCATACCGCGGGACGCCAAAAACGTGGTCTAAGGCTGTCCACCCAACTGCCAAATGGGCCTGACATGGCCCGCCACGATGAGAAGCAATCCTATTGTATTTATTATTGCCAAGCCTTAAAGTAAATCTGTAAGCTCTGAACGAGGACGACGGAGCAGCGAGGAGCTAATATTTGTGATGATGCTAAACTTTTTGTATCCAAAAGAGGATTCTCCGGGGTCATCCCGTTTGAAATAATAACATTTTTATACAACTTTGGCTTTGGGCATCTTGTTCAGGAGTTAAAGTGGAAGCCAACAAGGATTAAGTCATGGAAACGTTCTCTTAAACCGACACATTTATTAACTATAATTGGCTCAGGTCTTAGCCCCCATCTAGACCTGGCTCAGCACCCTTTGCAGCCGCTGCAGGCACTTGCGTATGCCCACATCCTCGCCCGCACCGCGCTTCAGCTCCACCTGCTGGGCCTGCTCGCGCACGAAGGGCACGAGGGGTGCCACCAATTCGGGTGACAGCTCCGCCAGCTTGATCAGCATCTGGAAGTAGAAGTAGGTGCAGTGGGCCAGATGCTTCTCCGCCAGCGTTCGCAGATGGGAGGAGCACATGTCCCGGACAGCCGGGTACCGCTTAAAGGCGCCATGCTGGATCAAGGCACGGTACAGGCTCAGCACCTGGTTGCGACTATGATCCAGCTCGTCCACGAACATGACGTGCTCCAGCAACGGCACGTGAACGCCGCGCAAGAGCGTCAGCAGCTGCTGCTCCTGGTCCACGGGTATGCACTCGATGAGTTGCTGCAGAATGCCGATGACGAGACCCGCCTGCTGACCCGCCTTGCGTCGCTGCACCACCAGAAATTGGCTGACCAACAGCTGCAGGACAAACTGCGCCAAAGCGCCATCGCTGGCATCCACATCCGCCTGCAGGAGCGTGGCGTATGGACGGGCCACAAGCTTGGCACTGGGCGAGAAGCCAAAGTGGGGAGTCCAGTGCTGGATCAGTTGCTCCAGCGTCTTGCCCACGTAGGCGTCGGTTCGATAGGGCAGACGTCCAATCCCCTGCAGCAGCACGGGGAAAATCTTGTGCACCATTTGCGGCATCCGGCCCTCGGGCGGAATGCCCGCCTGCAGCTGTGTGGTGAGCAGGAATCGCACCATGGCCAGGTGGAAGAAGCAGCTAGGCTTGGAGCGCACATACGCCAGGCTGGGGCAGTTGTAGATGACAATGGCCAGGAAGCTGTAGAAGCGCGAACCCAGCTCTGAGCGCAGTCGCTCCGGCGAGAGCCACAGCTCGAAGTGATGGACATAGGCGTGTAGTTTGTGGCTTAACTGCATTCGCACATGGGCCGCGGCCTCCTCCTGCTGGGACCGCCTGCCGAGGGCTCCGAAGAAGGCGCACAATGGCTCACGGCCACCCTCCAGGGCGGTGGGATCAATGGTCAGCTGCCGGAACTCCTCCAGCTGGGCAACATGTGCCATTAGGGCCAGGACTGTCTCGTGCTGCGGATTGAGCAGTACCAAGGACTTGACCCAGACTTGCAGGATAGTGGCGTTCGATGGCCGCCGAAGGGGACCGTCCTCCAGCACTTGCAGCATCAGCTGAGCCGAGGCGGCCAGGTTTAGGGGCTCCGGTCCTTGAAGGAAGCTCAGTAGCAGCTTGTCCCCCGGCTCTTTGTCCAGGATGGTAACAAACTTTGCAGCCAGCTTGGGCAGCCACGAACTGTGGCCGCTCACGTACTGTGTCCTCAGCAGCGGCAGGATGTGTTGCTGCAGAGCCTCTGCAATGCCAGTGGCGTTACCCGCAACGGCACGCGGTTCGCCGAGGCGCAGGATCAGCGCATGGAGGGCCTGCCACACCCGATCTTGCGACGCTTGGCCGCTTTTCTCCACGTAATGCGTCAGCCAGGGTCCCAGCAGGAGCTGCTCGCCCCGATTGAAGTCATCCGCCAGGTCGAAGACGGCCTGAAGGGTACCCGCGTAAACGGCACCCACTTCCACGTCGTTGCGAATGGCACCCAGCTGGGCCAGCAGCTTGCCCACGTAGTCCTCCATGGGAAGGCGATGCTGGGCATGCAAGAGCAGCAACGCCATGTGACCCTTGGCCACCAGGATTCGACGTACCGGCGGCAGCTTGTCTAGCACCAGGCAGAGCAGCATTTCGCGCAGCTTTACGGCCAGCTCGCTGAGATCCTCCTGCGAGAGCAGCAGGCACAGGAAGAGCTCGATCACATGATGGATCCCAGGCTCATTGAGAGCCAGCAGCTTGGCGGCACTAAATTTGCTGAAGATGCGCCCCAGCAGCTTCTGCCGCTGGTTACTCCGTCCCTGCGCGGGCAGCAGCTTCAGCGTCCGGCCCAGTAGCCAGGCGTAGGTGGTGAAGCTGCTGAGATTGAGATCCTCGAGCTGTGCCTTGGCCAGCAGCTTGCTGTAGCGCTCCACGTATGCGGCACCGCTGGGACAGGTCAGCGGCAGCTGATCCAGCTGCTCGGTGCCACCCGCACTGAAGTTGCAGTTAAGGGAGCGGTGCAGATACTCCCACAGCTGACACAGTACATCCACGTCCGGCTGGCCCAGCTGGAGCTGCAGGGGCGCGAGTAGCGAGAAATAGACGCGGCGTTGCTGCTCGTCCGGCTGGCTGGCCAGGAATTGCTTCAGCAGAGGGGCGGTTTGGAAGGTGCTGCTGGGCGGCAGAATCTCCTGCGGCTGAAGCTCATCCAAGCGGGCCAGGCCAAGTCGCAGCCAGGCATAGAACTCGTGGAATGTCAGAGAGACGGCATTGTTTTCCCCTAGAAATAGGATTAGAAATGAATCTGCCGAGGCAAGAAAAGGGGAGAACACTTACCCGCAAAACACTTTACCCTGTGACGGAGCATGGCCTTGTGGAACAGCAGCCAAAAGTCCAGGTCCCGATCGCCCAGCCACAGCGGGACGAGGCGCTGGAGCAGCAGCCACAGTTCCTTGGTGCAGCGACACACGAATGGCGAGGTGTGGATGAGTTCCGGACGATGTCGACCCCGGTAATGGTGCCCCGCACATATAATCAGATCGTCTAGCGTTCGCTCCAGCTGTCCCAGGAGGTTGCTACAGCTGCTGCTTCGGTCCTCGGCCTCTCCCTCTCCCGCGGCAGCAGCTAGCAGGAGGAGATCCAGGAAGCGCCACTCGAGAATGCCGTGGTAGAGATGATAGGCCGGCGCCTGACACTCGTTGCCCTTGCTGTGCTCCGCAAAGTACAGCACCTTCCAGGCATCTTCCGTGTCCAGCTGATTGTTGAGCAAAAGCCGCAAATCCTCGTGGAATAGCCGCTGATCTTCCGGGCGGAGGCTAAGCAACAAGTGGTAGAAGTGCGTGACCTGCTGGCGGATGCGAAACCAGCCGGAACCGGATCCATTCGACGACGTGAGCGACGCCTGCGCCGGCCCCAGTTGCTGCTGACCCGCCACGGCGGCGAATAGCTTCTGCACATTCTTGCTGTCATTGGGATGAGACGAAGGATAAGGATGTTAACAAACAACGGCTTAAAAGGCTGAGAAGACTCACCAGGCTTCGCCATGCAGGTAGCTTCGCACCGCGGCTACCGTGAGTTGTCCCTCGGCGAAGTCAAAGCAAAGGTTTTCCAGGCGACACCGCGGCGGATGCTGTTGAGCGTAGCCGCTGCGCAGGAATCCTTCGGCCGGCAACGGTGTCTTCTGTGTGTCCTTCCCGCTGCAGCAAAATTCCGGTAGCCAGTCTAGTCCCTCATCCAAGTCCCCCTCCTCGTCGTCGTGCATGTCCATGGCTGTGTTAAGAGCATCCTGCTTGAGCTGCTGCGTGACCTGATTGAAGGCCGTGAGGATGTCCTCTTCGTCATCTGACTGGAATAAGTCGTAGTCCATGGCGGCTACCGTTCCAAGGGAACAACAATTCTCTGGAGGATTAGCCCGCTCTTTGAATTAGTGTGACCGCGGATTTATCGATATTGTTGTGGTATGTAGAATATACTATAAATATACCATACGAATTTCCCTTCAAAAATTTCTCGGTATCGGTATCGACTTTCTCGATTGTCTTTAACGTTAATTAATCGATTTTACATTTTAAATTTGGGCGCTAAAAACGGAAACGATAGAAACAATATAAATTAATTTATACTTTATTTACGAATATACAACCGGAAGCATGCCTCATGTATCCGCAATGGTGCGAAGCAGCGACTCGATTCGCTGCCGAGCTTCCACATATGCGGCCATTACCTCCTCCAAGGTGGTGGCCCTGGCCGCCTCCTCATTCGGAGACTTGGCCTCCGCCTCGTCACTGCTACGGCCACCGCCGCCATCATCGCTGTCACCCAGTTCCAGGTGTAGCAGCTGGCCGGCAGTCTCAATCTGTCTCTGCTGGAGCTTCTGCATCCGAAGCGAAAGTGATCCCGTGCTCCGCATAGCCATGTTGGTATTCGAATCTAGACGGGAATGCACCTCCGTGGACTGTTGCTGCACATCGAAGTAGGACACAAAATCAAACAGTTGGCGGCCACCGATAAAGTAACGATTGAGGGCGTCCAGCCAGCTACCCAGCGGCCGGATGCACTGCAACCGAATGGACTCCGTGGGCAGGGGCGCGATCAGCGGCAGGGAATAGTGGGCATAGCCCTCACAGCGCTCCCGCTGCCAGCTGTCTATGCTTACCACCTCGAAGTAGAGGTGAAGCAGCTGCTGGTCAGGCTGGTGTTGCTCCTCGCAAAGCAGCGTCAGCTGCCAGCAGTGACCCAGGTTGGCCATGCGCCAGTCTCCGGCATTCCGGCAAGTGGCCGTGGCTCCGCGCAGCGGGTCCTCGCCAGCCGGCGCCTCCCATAACGTGTTGGGCGGCAGCTGGATGTGGTACCGCACGTGGACGTTGGGGTTCTGAAAGTACTGTGCCGTCTGCAGCTCCAAGAGCAGGCACACCCGTCTCATTCGCTTTGGCGGCAACTCAAAGTGCATCGGGTTACGCAGCTCACTGGCGACCAGGCGCAGCATGTGGTAGTATTCAATGAGCTCCAGCCCAGTGGCATCTTCGGGAAGCTCTTGCTCCGTGTCCTCATATTGTTCCTCATCGTCAGCCTGCTCTTCCCCATCCTCTGGCCGTGGCTGCTCCTCGAGGAGCGGCTCCAGCGGAGTGGTGTTCTCAAAGCCATAGGCATACAACTGCCGACAGTCGTTGTCCCGCTCGATCTGCACCATGTAGTCCAGGTCGCGGGCACTGCTGCTGAAGTCCGGGTACACGTAGAGCAGCCCCTGGTCGGGATCGTAGCGAATGCTCACAAGAAGAGTGTCCTTGGGGAGGTCCGCGTAAACGTACATCAACTGCTGACCCTCGAGATGCAGCTGCCGGGCTTCCGGTGGCAACAAATCCTCCGCATCGCCATCGACCAGAGTGTGGATAAGACAGGTTCGGGCAGCGAAGTGAGGATCGTCAAATGATAGCTCCGACATGCTGGCCGAGGACAGGCCGTGTGCCGGTGGTTTGGGTCCACCTTCAGCCAGGGTCACAGCAGTGCTGGGACGATTAGACTGTTTACGTCGTGATTTCGCACCCGGCGGCGGACTCTGGTCTGATCCTGGTCCTCTTCCTGCTCCTGTTCCTGCCTGGCCAACGCCAGCTTACGGAGATGCAGCTGCTGCAGCTCCCACGTCTCCAGTGCCCAGGTGTGATAGCGTTTCTGCAGCTTGGTTGCGCAGCTACCGGGATCCGGCAAGTGGCGTTCGACCTCCGAATGGCTTAAGAACTTCTGCTGCCAGGCGATGCGTATGGTGGCAATGCGGCCGTTGCACAGCTCCCGGTTTCGATCGTAAAACAGATCCTCGGTTGGATTTTGACTGTTCCTCTCGCTTAGGATGCTCCATGTGAAGTCCCTAATGCTCCGATTGCTACGCTGTTCCTGCTCCTCCTCCGCGCCTGCTACCTTTTCTACTCCCTCCTGTAGTGCATTTTGGGAGGCTCCATTTTCTAAGGCCTGCAGAGATGCGGGGCTCCTGCGTTGCCAGCGGGCAACCGTTTCTCCGTCGTTGTAACTAGTGTAGTAGCCTAGTCGGTTTTCTACGCCGTAGGAGTCGTCACCCTGCGGCAGATATATGCGGCAGTCCGACCAGGGTTCCGTCTCCTCCAAATCCGGATAGTGATCGCCACCGCCGCCGCCGCCGCCGCCACTACTGCTGGTGGCGGCGTTGACCTGGGCGCCTGCATACTCGAACTTGGGCACCGGCAGCCATTCGCTGATGTGGCGCAGCCTCACCTCCAACTGGAAGTCTCCAATGTTGCCGCTCACGCGGTACACGCCGGTTCGCTTCATGTCCCGCACCTTTTGCATGGTTTCTTTTTATTTATTTTTGTTTTTCTGACGTTTCGCCTTTGTTTTCGCTCTTTTTTTGAAAGACCGTTGGCATGGCAACCATCGATAGGCAGTCGAGAAAAAATACCACAATATATCGATACGCCTAAAGGGTTCTCTACGCAATACAGCAAGAAAATTAATAATTTATTAATATTGCGCAGTTAATGATACTTTGTTTATTAATAAATATTAATTAATTAATTAATAACACAACTTAAACATAACAAAAATATGTCTGTCCGATGTTGATCTGAAAAATACCGGTTTGGTATTTTATCTTGCTAGGCATTTTTTAGGCCCAAACCCACACCCCGTCGATAGATGGTTGGCAAGCTTTTGAAGTGCGATTTATCACATTTTGTTTTCGATTGCTCTTCGTGCTGGTTCGTTTCTTCGCGCCTACTCCAACTCCCAATATCCGTGTGTTTGTTCGTTCGTTGGCTCGATCGTTTGTTTGTTATTATCCGCTGCATTTAATGCGCGCGGTTAACCACCGATAAACAGCAGAAGAACAGACAGAAAGTCCGCAACGAACATTGAAGCTGCAAGGATCGTGAATGTTGCGTTTCACCTAAAAACATTCGAACACATCTTTTTTTTTTCTGTTCTGCAAAATTTTGTTCTGTTAAGTGTTATAACGGATCTCGCATTTTGCCGCCGCCACAGATAAAAAAGTATCCACGCAAAATGCAGCAGAAAGTTGAAGAGGTGAGTGTTTATTTCTGTAAAAGGGTGTTAATCTAAGAATTATTAATCTGGGATAAGATATTCTGATCTTGGTAACCATTTTGATCTTTCTGGAAATGTTTACGTTTTCCTTGCTGTACTCCTTTTATAACTGTAAAAATTTCCAATGAGAAAAGGAGAACACGCTGAAAAGAACCGTACATTTTTAACCACATACATAGATTCGTGGTTAAAAAGTTGAACTTTTTTTTAGGCTTTTCAGTCATCATTTTGATAACAAAAAACAGAAATGTTTATTGTTCTCTGTTATTGACTCCCCAAAAATAGGTGCAATAATTTTTGCGAATGCTTGGAAATGGGAAAGCAAAAATTGGAGGATCAATTGGCGCTGTTCTTGTTTTTCGTGTTGTTGTTTGGCCCTCTCCTTCTGCTATCCTTCTCCTTCTCCGGCTTCTTCTGTTTTTGCCTTTTGCTTGCATTTCATTGAACTTACATAGCACGCCCCCGATGCTGCGCTGGCGTCGCTGCCGGCGTCGCTGTTCTGCCGTGACGTTCCATTGACTGATTTTCCCGACTTTCCGCAGAAATAACAAAGGCAACAAAAGCAAAACCAACATATAACACACAGCGTGGCCACAATTGTAAAATGGTTTTGTTTGGCTTTTCATTTACACGTTGTTGTTGTTATTTTATTCTTCTTTTTTTTCGGTGTCCGCTCCGCTTCTTCTTTCACCCACAGGTGTGCGGGTGTGTGTATGTGTGTTGTTATTGTTTGTTGCTTTATTTGCACAGTTGCCAACGTCTTGTGTTTCTTTTTTTCTGTTTTTTTTTTCTTATAATATATCGTTTTTTGGGGCTGCTGTCGTCTCTTGATCTTTCTTTTGGGGGCCAAAACCAAAGTCATGGTAAGAGCTGTGAAATTTTCATCGCCATTGTTTGTACTCCATTCTCGTACTCGTACACCTTCTCCTCCTCCTCTTCCTTCTTCTTCTTCTTCTGTTCCTCATTCTCTTCCTTTTCGCCAGAGGGAGAGAGAGGAGAGGATAAACAAATAAAGATCATGGAGAATTGAGCATTAAATCGAAAAGTGTGCCAATTGTCAACTTTTGAAAAACAATTAGCTCAAGCAGACTTTAGATGCTTTATTAAATCCAATTAAAAACAAAAGTAACAAAAAAGAAAACTAACTTTGGAGAGCCAATGATTACTCTCAGTTGGAAATTTAATTATAAGATAGTATCTGAAATCGATCATAACTAAGTTAAAATATTCACGTTCTTTAAAACGATTTATCAATCTTTTTTTATGACAATATTTTTGAGAAATCAAATTTTAAAAATCTCATAACTCAGCCAAAAAGGCATTAATTTTAATTCGGAAAGCGGTCCTATGTTAGTTTTTTCTATGGTAATAAATCTGCATACTCAATTTAAAATATTAAAAAAAAAACATTTTTGTTAATTTTGATGATTTTTAACGATGTTACCCCTTAAAAAATTGAAAAAATTTGAACATTTTATTTTTCTGCCGGAGATGTCTAGAAAGATTCGGCTTTTAATGCTGATTAAGAATATATATGATTTATAGGGTCGGAAATGACTCCTTCACTTAGTTTTAAGCTTGTGACTATAATTAAAATTCAAATAATATAATATATAATAATATATAAAATTCTAAATAATATAATATTAATATTAGCTGACAAAGGGAGAAATGAACAAAACGAACAAGTTTAACAGCAGAAAAGGATAAACAGGAGAACAGAATGAATGCGATTAACAGCAGGCGAAAACCTATTTCTCAAGTTCACTGATAGATGTCTTATTAAAGTAGAAACAAAAGAACTATGTTCTTCATCTTATATTTATCCAACTATAAGAAGTCTTTTGACCTATTATCATAGCCAGAAAAACCCAAATCCCATAGATATAAAAATGTCGATTTGAGGGGTAAACTTTGCCCCTTTAGCGATGTTTTATTTACTTGATTTAAAACAGAAATAATAAATGGAGAACAGACAACAGCTGTTTTTCGGGATCGTTCTTATTGGCTTCCCCAGAGTCACCAAGACAAACCAGCTTGTAAATTATTATTATTATTACTCCTTTCGAACAATTTAATTAATGTTCTCTATGGGCCATGTTGGAAATGAACTGGAAAGCAGTCAGAGCAGAAAATTAAGAATTAAAACGAAACCATAAAGCTTATTTTAAATACTAATTACAGTAGTTTACAACCAAGACTGCTGTTAGTTGGTAACAGCTGTTTACATAGCTCAAAAAAAAACATAAAAATTAATAAAATAACAAGAAGCTCTGGTGTTTTGTCTGAGAAGATGGAACACGGAACCAAAGAGCCAAGAGCAACAAATAAAATAAATTCGAATTTGGCCTGGCCAATGCCAGATGCAAGTAAAAGTCGAAATACCTGTAAAGACAAGGATAGCCTGGCCGGGCGAACGAGATGATGACTGTCCGTGACCCAAATAAGTGGCAGCAAACGAAAAAGAAAAAAAAATGCCTCAAGAATTGCATTGCTGGACACTTGGACAAATGATCGAGGAGCAGAGAGGCGGAGCAGAGTAATAGAGTGGTCAAAAGCACCCGCATTCCCCTTTCCAGCCCGCCAATCATGGTCAAGTGATTGAGATTGAGATTGAAGTTGGTTAACTGAGCTTGAGCTTGAGCTTGAGGATCGAATCGTATCGCATCGAATCGGATCTTTTCGATTCAGGCCAAGTTGTAGATCTTCACTCGATGGCAGATGAGAGTCAAGAGGAAGATGGAGTCTATAGATCCATGGATCTATGAAATGAAGCCTCAATTCCTGCTTAACATAGATACAAAGTCAAGGCGAATTCTCTTTATCATCCATTTATAATCGTTAATGTTTTCAAAGATTAAAGTCAATTAAATAAATTACTAGGGAAATAATACCGCCTAATTATACGAAATTTATTCTCTTCTTGGATGTAAATATTTCATTTCACTTTGCAAATCTCATTACAAAGCATTTACATTTACATTTTCCTATTTTCCACTCAAATATTGCTGCGGAAAATGGGTGGGAAAAAAGCGTAAAAGAAAATCCCCAAAAACCGGTCAGAACTTGTGGTTGGTCTATTAAAGTTTCGCTTTTTTTTGCGCATTGCGGACGCAGACACAGTTTGTACAAAATTTTCCCGTCGATCGAAAGTAAAAATGCCCGAAACCGGTCAGCAAAAAAAAAATAAACGACAAAAAAACCAAAACCGGCGGGATCCTGACACCATCATCGCCCATCCGTAATGAATGTCTTTATGCAGCTTCACAGGCAATAGGAATCTGGTAAATTGGGGAATTACCAAACCGAGAAGAGTTAAATATAGTTATTACAGGGAAATGTGGGCTACCTGCTGCTCCTCCTGGTCAAATCAAAAGAGGGAAACCCGTGGCCAAATGGCATATCGGAATATAGATCCAAAAGAATACGGCCCGAAAAGGCCGAAGAACTCAGGTGTAATTACAAATAAATGGTGAAGTTTACAGGTGGGATTCCACGGGGGGAAGATAGCCGAAAGTTACTCAAGTGGGAGATGATGAGGGCCCAAAGCTAAAATACCAAAAAACCGAAACTCAAATGAAAAACGCAAAGTACGCTGAAAAATAATTTGAGAAAATAAAATAAAAAAACAAACTTGAAACTTGTCGTGCGTCGATCGCATCGCATTGCCGGAGGGGCGGGAGAAGGTGGAGGTCAATGTCTGGGAGAGGGGGTCAGCGACCCCTGACCCCACCGGGGCCATCTGGAAAACAAACAGAGAAAAGCCCAGAGTTATTAGCGACCAAGGCACTCAAAAGCCGAGAAGAGATGGGATCTTATCTCCGAAACTGGAGCAGCTGAAGGTAGCCAAAGCAGGAAAATATTTAAGAGAAGATGGAACGAGCTCAGTGAAAATGAATTAATGGATTTTTTGTTTTGGGGTGAGCTGTAGGAGAATACCCCCAAACCAAAGGCTAGATAATGACCTATTTATTTACAAACAAGTTATGTATAAAATATATATAGAAAATTATTATTTAGAATTAAATTATATCAATAAAAGCTACAAATTGGTTTGGTTTTAAACACATCAGATCCATCATGGTTGTCTCTCCAAAAAGGGTGATTAATTAATATAAATTAAAATACTGCGAGTACATCAATCATTTTAAGTATTATTTTTTCAAAGAAATAAATAATTGGAAAAAGTTAAGCAAAGATTCCCCCTTTAGTCTCAACTATTTCTGGTAAATTTTGTAATTGGGAGTTCAGTTGAGTTGGAGCTTCTGGGGGAACCCTTGAGATTTTCTGGGAATTTTCAATTGCATCTCGGCTAGCATTTCCACATCTTTTGGGAGCCTCTATGACGACCACAGAGAAAAGCAAAACAAAACAAAAACAATGGCAAATAAAACAAATATTATGCATCATAAATTTCACCGACAAACCGAAACAGAAACCGGTCCTCCCCGATCACAACTCCACTCGGTTCTGACAATGAACCCAAAAGGCAAAGACCCAGACCCAGACTCAGACTCTCCATACTCCCGATGGCGAGGTGTAAAAGCGAAATGTTAAGAGATTACGAAATCGAATGAGCTTAAGACCCAGCCCCACATACTATATGTTATATTATATCGCGCTCTGAATAATAATAGTAATAAGGTGCACATAAAACATTTTCTGTCGATTAGAAATTCAAATGAGCTCAGGCTTTTGTTTTGTTTTTTATGAAAAGTGAATGTGACGACCGTTAGACTGAGGCAACTTTAACTTAAGCGTTTAACTGCCCCGCAACAATGCAATGTTTTTCCTTTATTCAACGCTGCTGTCTTTTATATATATATTTTTACCTATTTTCGAAAGTTATTTGAACTACATTTTATGCGGCAATTCCGAGACGAAATGAAACCAAACCGAGTCAAAACCAATTGGAGATGAAAAACCCAGTTCCGATGCTCGATGCTTCCTTAATTGATCGTGATCGATCGCAGCGAGTT